TGTTACTGTCAGGCAATGTGCCCTTTGGCTGGCTGGCGCTGACATCAGGAGCAGTGTGCTCCAGTAGCTTCATTTTTATCTGACTTTCTAGTATTTGCATGGAACTGCTGGGAGAGGTCTTCCAAATATTTGAAGTTGGGGCATCATCATTGTGCTGAGGTGGCGGACACGTGGCAGAGGAGCCAGTAATGGGCTAGATGAAGCTAGTGCTGTCTGAGAGGGTCAGCTGAGGCCCTGCTTCTTGGGCCCCCAGGTTGACGGCCACCAAGCATCTGGCTCGTGGAATGCCAGCTCGTGCCAAGTTAAAGCTTTTAAAAACATTTTTCCAAGCATTTTAATTATTGATTTGTAGTTTCCCCCCCATTTTCAGCTGGTCTTCTGTTGCATTTTGGGACTTGAGACTTCTCAGATGTGTTATTTTCATTGAACCTAGTCTAGTTTTTTGCATTGTCTTTTTTTTGCTGTATTATGCTTTTTATATCCTGCTATGCTGCTGCTATATAACAATATTTTATTATTGATGTTTATTTGGAAACCACCACAAACATATTTTGATGGCAATATACAGATATATTCGTATATAAATAAAAGCCCCTTTCGGTAGCAGCCCCTGGACTTATGGATGGCCAGTTTGAGATAACCGGTTGGCTGGTCTTCAAAGCCAAATTGGCTTGAATGTCTGTGGTTGCTGGCTGGTTTGGACCCTCAATGGCCAGTATTTAGGTGATACCATATTTTTGATGGGGAAATCTCTACCCTCCCCCTTGTTTTAGTGATGGACGCTTGCTGAATCTGATCATATGATGCTGTTTTAACCACTGTTATGTAAGATAATTGCTGTATCTATGATGGTATCCTAAAGTATTCTTGTCAGCTTGCAGGTCCTGTTAATAGCTTGAAAGGTAGGATTTAACTTTAATTAATCTAATTATATAACAGAAGCAGAATAAGGAATATAAGTTCTCCAGGTAACTTGCTATTTTGCAGAGTTGTGTAGGAACCTGGTTCCTATTTGGGGGGGGGGGATAACAGGAGCCTGTTGGTGCCCGGAGTTTTTCCCCCCCCCCCCCAGGCATCATAAACTGCTCCAAATTTTGACACTGGGGAGGCAAGTTCTAGTGCTCAGTGCATCCAAAGCAATAGCCAGGCCTTCTGGAATCCCCCCTCATGCATCTTGTGAATGAATGGCCCTGGAACACACCAGCAAAGCCTTGTGGCCACAGACTGAAAGGGAAGATTTCCTGAGAATGCTGAGGAAAGCTGCTTTCCAGGGACGCCTCCCTAGTGCCACTCCTGGTTTTCGAGTTGAGGAAGCCCAAAAGAAACCACAGGTTCACCAAGCGCCAGCTGACAACCGCCAGTGTCTTCCCTGCTGTTGTTTCTGCCACAGACTGAAAGGGAAGATTTCCTGAGAATGCTGAGGAAAGCTGCTTTCCAGGGACGCCTCCCTAGTGCCACTCCTGGTTTTCGAGTTGAGGAAGCCCAAAAGAAACCACAGGTTCACCAAGCGCCAGCTGACAACTGCCAGTGTCTTCCCTGCTGTTGTTTCTGCTTTTTATTCCCATTGTCTAATTCTTAAATCTCAATGCTTTGATAAAGCACTTTGGATTTTGCTACTAGATGGAAAACATTTTGACTGCAAGGGATGTCTTTACCTTTCCACACCAAGTGATGGATTAGAGAGGAAGGTGATGTTAAGTAGCAGCCTTCTCCGCTCTGAGATCAGCAAACGGCTCAAGAGCAATGTGGGGAAAGGAGGAGGGATGCTACTGGCGTCTGTCAGAATCTGTGCTAAGCTGCCCATGCTCCCGACTGGAGGCCCTCTTCACTCCTGCCTTTGCCCTATGTGCAATTCTAGGGGTGTTGTTCTCTGGGGTGGCCAGTCCTTGGCTTAATTATGCCTAATTCCAGACTTGAATCTAATCAGTTTACTAAGGAGGGAAGGACACGGAGCAGTTTGGAGCTCTGTTCTTCAGGAGGTGGGGCTGACAGGTTTCCAGACTCTTCCATTTGCTTCCCTGCTGGCCTGAGAGTATTCCGTCAGATAAGCAGGATTGCCAAACGAAAAGTTAATATTCCTTCAGCAGCTACAAGCTGTGGCTGGTTGGTTACAACAGAGCAGACTGAAACGGAATCCATCGAAGATGGAGGTTCTGTACCTGGGTCGCGGGGACTGGGATCGGGGATCCAACCTTTGACGGGACGTTATTGGTGCCGGTGCTGAAGGTGAAGAGCCTGGGGGTACTCCTGGGTGCCTCACTAACTATGGAGGCCCAGGTTGCTGCCCCTGCCAGGTCTGCCTTTTTCCACCTGAGACAGATCAGGCAGTTGGCCCCATATCTCACCCCCACCCCCACCCCGGGATCTGGTTACAGTGACCCATGCAATGGTTGCTTCCACATTAGATCATTGTAATTCTCTCTACGTGGGGCTGCCCTTGATTCTGCTCCAGAAACTGCAGCTGGGTGCAGAATGCAGCAGCATGGGTTTGATGTTGCTGCCTGTATGGGCCCACATCCTCCCGGTGCTGCGCGAACTGCACTGGCTCTCTATTGAGTACTGGATCTATTTCAAGGTGTTGGTGCTTACTATATGGCCAGGGGGCCACAAATCTGCAAGACCGCCTCTCCCTCTATGAGTCCCGAAGGGCTTTGCAATCTGCCAATCAACATCTTCTGGTGATCCCCAGCCCCAGGGACGTCTGTCTCGCTTCGACTAGGGCCAGGGCCTTTTCAGCCCTGGCCCCTACCTGGTGGAATGCGCTCCCATACGAGATCAGGGCCCTGCAGGACCTTTTACAGTTCTGCAGGGCTTGCAAGACGGAGCTCTTCTGCCAGGTTTTTAACTAGGGTGACGGACGTCCCTCCCTCTTTACTGGGCCTCCCCTCAGCGGGTCAGAACTGCATACCAGAGTTGGCATCTGTGAGGTTTTAATGCCAATGACAACAGCACCAGATGAAGGCCATTGTGGTGTTTTACTAGTGTTTTAACTGTATTAACTGTGTGTGTTTTTATCAAATTTGATGGAACCCGCCCTGAGCCTGCCATGGTGGGAGGGCGGGATATAAGTCGAATAAAATAAATAAACATATACCTACATAGAAGGGAGACTGTGTGGCGCTTTCATCTTGATGGGGTGAAGCTGCATCTGATATACAATGTGATGCAGTGAGTTTAGAGTATCACACTAGGATCAGGTTCCGACGACCAATCTGCCATGGAGGCTTGCCAGGTGACCTTGGGCCAGTTGTATGCTCAGCCTAACCTACTTCACAGGATTGTTGTGAGGATAAAATAGAGGAGAGGAGAGCTATGGAAGGTGCTTTGGGTCCCCGCTGGGGAGAAAGGTTAAGTATAGAAGGAGATAAACATCTTTATCCACCTTTCACAGAGGAAAACAGGGGCACTCTGTACACTCCGGTGGCCCTATTAGCATGGCAAGGATCACTGCCCATGTCTCATACCTCCTCCTTCACACATTGCTGAAGGGGTGTCCCCCCACCCGGCCTGGACAAATGGAATTCCAGAACCATTATAAAGAAAAAGAAGGTGTTTAATTGTTTGGTTAAAGTCACACTAAAAGATAACCTTATCTGATGTTTTTGAGCAAATCAAAATGAGGTGCAGCTTGTGAAATATTGGGCTGTGTACTACATGGTGCTTTAGGCAGTGTTCAGATATTCTGAACAAATCATGACAAGTGAAAACTTGGCTTGCTTCTAAGCTCACCTGCTCCCTTCCTCCTCCTCTTAAATACTACACCAAGATCAAAGACTTCTTCCCGTGTGACATCCAAATGAAGATGCTTCAACAAACAAGGATTCTAATACTCAATATTATCCTTGTTTAGAATTCCAGAGACTGATCATGACTCCCAGCCCTGTTTGTTACCTATATTTGGATATGCCAACAAATTGGAGTTAAAGACTTTAAAGTTAATCAGGAAGTCTTCCGCTCTGGCACATGATTGAAGAGGAGAAAGGGTGCGGACAATATGGAAAATAAGCCAAGTTTGTATGTGTCATGAACAAACACCTGTTTGTTTGTGATGTCTGAAAAGATTGTTAGCATTCATGCCTGGGTGTTTAAAAGCATATATATATATATATATATTAGAGACAAGGTACATGTTGACTTGCACGTGTAAGCTGATGAGTCATTCCAGAAAGAACTTTCATATAGCTTCAGATCAGCTCTGATGAAAGGCTTTACCATAGGTCCGATTCATACATTCAGCTGTACAATAATCAAGTTTACTGAAACCAAGTGATGTGCATTTAATGTAGCCATCTCCAGATGACATTGTGTGCGATTGGAGGGGGGCAGGCATGAGCATACTGGCCCCACCGCCCTGCCTATGCATGATTGCTTATCAAAAATGAGAGCTCACGGGAGGAGATTGTATAAATCTAAAGACACTCCGTGAATGAATTACGAACAAAAGCAGAAGAATTATATTGTATGAAACAATTCAAACAATTTTAAATCTTCGTTAGGGTTCTTTAACGAAGATTTAAAATTGTTTGAATTGATTCATACAATATAATTTTTATGCATGATTGCTGGCTCATGAACATAAAGTCCGTGCTCATACGAAGTCTATGCACATACACACAGGCTCTGTCCCTGTAATCAGGAAGGCTGGTTTTTTTTAACATTCCCAGTCATGGAATTAGGGACTCTACATGTAGATTCCATGCTTATGAACCAGTGGAGCTGGGATTAGTGTGCTCATGTTCCCTCCCCTTCTATGCATGTTGATTTAAACGAATGCAATGTAATCTATGCGAGCCATTTCATAAGTGTTTGAGGAGAGTCTCTTACACAATGCTAGAGCGCCTGCCTTGGGTACACAAAGCTCTCTCAGATTCAATCACAAGCATCTCTTGCTAGACTGATCATCTGATGTGGTGCAAGATGGCAATTGTAAGTTCAGAAGTGTATGAAAGTAAAACCCAGCACATGGATTGCACTCACTGACATCTTTCTCTTTCTCTCAGTTCCGTGAGAATATCCAAGATATCCTCCCAGGACTCCCTGCCCAAGATGACTACTACATCTTGAAATGGCTCCGAGGTAAGAGGCAGGTCTGGGGATTGTCGCTGTGTAAAGATGGGTCTCCTGCCAATCAACCCAGTGCACCACAGTATGGAGTACATCTAAGATTTTGCCGCAACCCATAAATGGGTCTTTCATCACCACAGTACTGCCCTTATTCATATGCCCCAGATCCACAAGATGTGCTCATCTGAGAAAGGAATGTAACCAGAAAATAAAGATCCTGCCATTAGCCTCTGCTCCACAACCTTTCTTCAGCTAGGTGGATGCTTGTTCCTGTCTTGGTCCAAAAGGCAAAGAAGCCTTGTACGAACAGAACCAGGAGACGGATCACTTGCTAGTACCAGTCCAAACAGATGATGTAGATGCAAACTGCCTTAGCTTACAACTTCTTAAGCACATTGACTTGGAAGCAAGGGCCACTGATTTCAGCGGGGCTTTCTTCCGAGGGACTGTGCTTGAGACCAAGAGTTCCCTGCCTACCGGGCAAACTTTTCGATGGCTGTAGCTCCTCAGGCTGGGCATACAGTGATTGGGGAAAGGGTGGGCATTGCACATCGACTCTTTGCCCATTGCTAAACTAGTTGAAGAAGCACAGGATGTGCTTGCCAAGCTATGCAGCCCGCAGCAGAGGATCAGTATTCTGATCAAGCAGTTTGTCTTCTATCAGAGTATGTCTCCTCCTACCCTTTTAACAGTGCCACAATGGTGGGCAAGAATTTACTTCAAGGCTGCATAGTAGATCAGGACATGCAAGTGAGCAACACATGGCCTTTCTCACTCGCTCTCTTTTTGAGAGGACAGATGGTGGTGTCTAACCCTTTCTCCTACAAGCCAGTCTTTCCCTGAAATTCCCCATTCCCTACCCTTATGCTTGCAATACAAGGAGAAAACACTGGCATGGGAAAAGCAACCAAGGAGGGGGTGCTGTTTAAAGTGAAAAGCGGCTGGCAGTGGGCTGAGTTCTTGGTTCTGTTGCAAAGCAGGGTACTAAAGCCTTTGGGTCTTGGATCGTGGGAAATGCCTCTGGCTTGTAAGATCTCAGCACGCTGTGTGCTCACTTCCAAGCGTATTTTTCCCACAGAAAGGGCTGGGGGCTTGCTTTTAAAAGACAGGCAGAGAGAGAGCTGAGATCCATGGGAATTCTGCAGCTTTTCTGCTGTTCTTCAGAGAACACAGAGTCCTTTGCAGAGCTCTGGAAAGACAGCTCCTGGAACTGGCTGGTTCAAAAAGATTCCGTATTAGAGATTGATATATGATCATGTAGAGTTGTGGCAGAAATGATGCAGGGGGCTTTATCTTCCCTGAGATGGCGGGGTTATTTTTATCAGCTGGGACTTTCCGCTTGTGCTTTCAGCTTGTCTGTTTGGTGAAGTCTAAACGATAGACTGTGGTTTGTCTGGGATTCTCATGTCTCTACCCCTCCTATACAAGGGAAGGAAAGATTTGTGCTAGAAACTAGTGGGACGGAGATCAGATCCAAAGCTGCTGGCTCCTCTTAGTGATCTTGCTAATGTTTAAAGCATATGAGCAGGCAGGCACTTAAATTAGGGTTGCCAACTGTGCTAGGAAATTCCTAGAGAGTTGGGAGGAGCGGGGCCTGGGGAGGGTAGATTTTGGGGAGAGAGCCTAGCAGGGATGTGATCCCACAGATAAGAGTCCACCCTCTGAAGCTGCCATTTTCTCCAGGGGAACTAGGGTTGCCAGCCTCCAGGTGGGGCCTGGGGATCTCCCACTTTTACCACTGATCCCCAGCTGACAGAGATCAGCTGCCCTGGAGAAAATGGCTGCTTTGAATGCTTCTATGCCATTGTACTATCCCTTCCCCAAACCCCGCCCTCTCCTGGCTCCACCCCCAAAGTCTCCAGGTATTTTCCAAACCAGACTTGGCAACCCTAAGGGGAACTGACACAGGGGAACTGATCTGGAGATCAGTTGTGAATTCCGGGAAAATTCCGGACCCTACCTGGAGGTTCGCAAGCAACCCTACCCGTATACGTTGTTTGTGTGTATATTTTAATAGATCAGCATATGCAAATAAGATAATTTTTTTGGTGAAACAGTGAGCCTTACCCTTAGAGTGCTAAAGGCAAATGCCAGCACAACACAAAGTCTATCCTGCTTCCAGAGATCACAGGGCTGGCCCTGACCTGGATAACCCAGGAGAGCCCGATCGTGTCAGATCTCCGAAGCTAAGCAGGGTCGACCCTGGCAAGTTCTTGGAAGGGAGAGCTCCAAGGGATACCAAGACCAGGAAGCAGAGGCAGGCAATATCAGCCCACCTCTCTGAAACGTCCTAACCTCACTAGGGGTCTCCAGAAGTCACTATGTTTTCCGGGCACGCAAGCACACACACACACACACACACAAATACTTCCCCCCAAAATCACAGGGCTCATACAGGATTATGGATAAGAGTCGAAGCTGAACCCTGGTTCAAAGCTCACTTCAGCCATAGACTCTGGAGGTGACCTAAGAAAAGCCACTATGGCTGTCTCTCTCTCACACACACACACACGCACAAACACTCTCCAAACCTGGCATTTGGAGATGATGATATTTATTTTCTTGATTTATATCTCACTTTTCTCCCCAAGGGGGACCCAATGTGGCTTGCATCATTCTCTTCTCCTCCATTTTGTCCCCACAATAACCCAGCCAAGGAGGTTAGGCTGTGAGTGGGTGACTGGCCCAAGGTCACCCAGCAAGCTTCCATGGCAGAGCGGGGATTCGAACCTGGGCTTCCTAGATCCTGGTCCAACACCTTAGCCGCTACCCCGTGTGATACTCTATGTGATACTCCGTTGGAATGGCTTACAGAAAGAGCGTCTGTGAAGCACTTCACCGTGTTCAAAATGGTGTTTAAATGCTAAATATGTGAATCAAAATACCTTATATTTAACTTGTACAAATTAGTAAACGCCCCACCACTACCAACGGCCCACCTCATTGCAGGCCTCTTCCCTTTTTGTGTACGAGCTGCCACTCCACCAGTTTGTTTTCAGAGAAAGCTGAGACTCATGAACACCCACGGCTGTAAGGGCAAACTTGGACTCCCTCCTCCCAGCTTAGGCAGGTTGCAAAATACAGCCTTCTTTGAACTCTCATTTAGCACAGGTTCTACTGCTTGGAACGGTGCTCCGGAGCCCTGCCTCTTAGGAAGATCAGGGCCATGTGAGAGGCTTTTTGATGATTAAGATGATCACAGGTCACACTTAATCTACCGTGGAGATAAGGCCATGTGATAGCATCCAGATAGTTTTGAGTCCTGTCAGCCTTTTCCCACAGCCTCCAGTGGATCAAAGTTGTTTTCATGTTGAACTGGGGTCCCTATCAGGAAGCCCATGAACTACTGATATTTTGCTGGCTGGCTGCAGTGTAGCTTGTGCACCCAAAGATTGCGAAACCGCTCTAGGCAGCTTTTAAAAAAAGCTTTTATTTCATAGGATTTTTCTGTGGGCTTCTTAGTCAATAGCGTCCTTTCTGGTACTCTTCCTACCCCATGTTCTGTTTTTACAACAAAACTTGTGTGCATGCCAGGGGTAGGTGGAAAGGAGCTTGGGATATCCCCCCCATTACTCAGAAGTAGCTCTCATTATAGAAAAGGTTGGTGATCCCTGATGTTGGAACTATGTGGGAGTGAGGAAGGTGAGGTTCAAGCGGATCGCTGTGCCGCCGTGATAAGGGAGAGGTTTGCACACCCTTCATCAAAGTGGGCTCATCAGAAACCCCAATTATAAAGCCTCCACTGTGGTTCAGTGAAAATAATGTGTGACTGCACCTTCAGGTGGTGCTACCTGATATTTTCTTTGCCATAGCTAACTGTCGGAGATCTGAGTTTTCCTCTGAAGTGCTAAATCACAACTCTCATCACCATAGAGGAAGATTCAGACAACCTTCACTGGCAACAGTAAATGGCTTCGTGAACTGGAGCGGAGTGACACCTCCAGAGATCTGGGATAACAGCTGATTCACCAGCCTGGTGCCTGTGGAACTGATGCAAGTTCTCTGGATTGTGGCCAGGGCTTGTGCATATTTGAGTTGAATATTGTGGTCCCCTGCTAGATGCAGGGAGAACAACATTATGTCAAGGTGGTTTTGGGGGTTGGTCCAAAACATTTTGGAAACTCAGACGGAAAGTCTTGACTGTCCAGTACCCTGTATGGCTGTGCAATATAATCCGTGGGGGCGAGGAGCAATGTTCCCTCTAAGCTGTGGAGTCTTGAGAGCAAAAATTCTACTCTGTGAGCCACTGGCATTAAAGCTGTGCGTGAGCAATTTGGCTACTGCATAACTTAGTTTGCTCTGGAGCCATCCTTCCTGAGCTAAGACAAAAATCTGTGAGCTGGAGGCTAAAAAACTGAGCTAGCTCACACTAACTCAGCTTAGAGGGAACACTGGCGAGGAGTGAGTCTCCCGCACAAGCCCTACTGAACCGAATGGGAGCGACTTTCTTGTGCCCAGCTCCTGTTTGCATAAATGAGGGGCTTGGGGAGGAGAAGTTCCCAGTGGGTGACGCAACGAAGGCATCATCTCTGTCTGCTTCTCTTAAGGGAATTCAGAATCCACCTGGGGGACCCCCTCGATTAGGGCCAGATTAGATGTGACGGTGTTCCCAAGTCTGTCCCATTTTCAAGCTGAATGTTTGTTGTTGTTCAGTCGCACAGTCGAGTCCGACTCTTCGTGACCCCATGGACCAGCTCCCACCAGGCCTTCTGGTCTTCCGCCGTCCTCTGAAGTTGGCTCAATTTCATGTTCGTTGCATCGATGACACTGTCTAACCATCACATCCTTTGCCGTCCCTGTTCTTTGACCTTCAATCTTTCCCAGCATTAGGGACTTCTCCAGTGAGTGCTCCCTTCTCATTTGGTGGCCAAAGTATTTGAGCTTCAGTTTCATTATCTGGCCTTCCAGGGAACAGTCAGGGTTGATTCCTTTTAGGATTGACTGAATTGATCTTCTTGCAGTCCAAGGGACTCTCAAGAGTCTTCTGCAGCACCATAGTTCAAAAGAATCTATTCTTCGGCGCTCGGCCTTCCTTGTAGTCCAACTCACGCAGCCATACATGACTACTGGGAATACCATTGCTTTGACCATGCGGACTTTTGTTGGCAGGGTGATGTCTCTACTTTTTATCATGCTGTTTAGGTTCGCTATCGCTTTCCTCCCAAGGAGCAGGCGTCTTTTAATTTCATGGCTGCTGTCACAGTCTGCGGTGATCTGGGATCCCAGGAACGTGAAGTCTGTCACTACTTCGACGACTTCCCCTTCTATTTGCCAAGGAGTGATGGGGCCGGATGCCATGATCTTAGTTTTTTTGATGTTGAGCTTCAAGCCCACTTTTGCGCTCTCCTCTTTTACCCTGAGCAAGAGGCTCTTTAGGTCCTCTTCACTTTCTGCCATTAGAGTGGTATCGTCTGCATATCTGAGGTTGTTGATCTTTTCCCCAGCAATCTTAATTCCCGCTTGTGATTCCCTTTTTGTGTGACTCTTGGAATGCTGAAACAACTGCCGGGGTGGTGGTGGTTTGCAACCATTTTGGCACTTGGAAAGGTGTGCAGGGAGGGGGAAACAAGATCTGCTCAAGATCAAGGCCTTCACATCTTTTTTAAATTACCTCCTTGACCATGGTGGCAGCACTGTCCATGAGCTGGAAGCTGTGGCCTCTGGTTTGGCCCTTAGCCTTGGAAGTGTGTCACCTCTCACTTTACAGGTAGCCAAAGCCTTGGCACAGAATGGAGCCTTCAATAAATATAGTTCTGTTTTATGACCTGCCAATCAGAGAGTCCAGGAAAACAAGAGTCACTGGAAAAGACAGTAACTGCTAGGCAAAGTTGAAGGCAGGAGGAAAAGAGGAAGACCCAACATGAGATGGATGGACTCAATCGAGGAAGCCACGAGGGCCCTCCGTTGGCAAGGCCTGAGCGAGGCTGATAACGATATAGGCTTGCCAAGTCCCCGTGGGGGGTGGGGAAACCCCCACCCCAGAGGCCTGTTCCTCGCCGCCGGCGGATCGGGCCCCAGGGGGAACTTCACCCCGACGTGCACGTCACCCGGAAGTGACCCGGGCATCCTGGGGGCGGGACCACGGTCATCCGAGGGAAAACTCTTTGGTTTTCCCTCGGATGGTCGTGGCCCCGCCCCCAGTGTGCCTGCGTCACTTCCGGGTGACGTGGATGTGGCGTGCTGGCGGCTGCATTCACACTTGGCAACCCTAGTTTAATGATAGGATGTTTTTGAGGACAGACATTAATTCATAGGATCACCATACGTTGGAAGCAACTTGAGAGCACTTAACACACACACACACACACACACACACATACACAACAAGAGAGTCAGACAACCTAATTTCCCCCTGCCAGGATACACTGGTTATGAATCTCAGTTTCCCCAGAGGAATAATGACCACTCTGAGGGAAGGAAGGGTGTTGTAAGGTTCATTGTTATGTTGGAATGTGCAAGCTGTTTGTTCTTGCATGAAACACTTTGCTCATGTTGCAAGCGGGAAAATCTAAATCTACCATCCACACACTGTCTCTGATCACGTTTCATTTGATAGTAAGAGAAACAGGAACAGGCCCCACCAGCAGACACCTATAATCTAGGGGCCAAGCAGGTTGTCTCAGCTGCTTGGCAGTGCCGGATAACAACGCATTTTTCGTAAGACAAAAATAGCCATCTCGAGACTGTAATAAAATCATGGGTGAAAGTGTAGATCAAGCAGTAGAATTTTTGTATGCAAACTCTGAAAGGGGGAGGAGGGAGTGTTTAAAAAGCTGGAATCTTAGCCTAACAATATATGTAAAGGAGTACCCCTTGGGAGGGGTTTTTCCTTCCGATCTCCAATTGTTTGTTGAAATGATAGCCGACTATTAGTTTTCTGCTTCCACTAGTGATTCCGATTGCTCAGAGCCTTTCCTGTCACATTCTTTACTGCTCTTGGACTGCTAATGATGGCTGTGATTAATGGGGACCATCCAGAGTTTAGGAGGGTGGATCTTAGCATTATGCAAAACAGGCCCTTCCACTTGTTATCCAGGTGAACCTCCCCAAGTCAAGGAATAAAGGTGTGACTTCTTCTGCTCTGCAGAGATAACCCCTTGGGCAGAATTCATTGCCAGTCTGGCAAGTCCAGAGGAGAGGAGGCACATGGCATGCTTTACCCTTTTAAAAGATTCCAGATGGGCTGAAGAAAATGGAGTGTCTCCATTGGCTCAAAGCACTGTCAGTCAATAGCTGGGCCATTTTCACACATTAGCTACCATCCACATAGCTTTCACTGCAACAGTGAATGAATGCCTTATGCGTTCACAGTGCATTGGAACATCTACATGGTAGTTTTCTCTGTACTTTCATTGCCTAAGCCCCTGTGGCTGACATCTCCCTCCCCCCATGTCACTGGAGGGCTTCTTCAAGGTTTTTAAAAACTGACAATTGATGTATTGCTGTACATTACTAGCTTCTGTGAATCCACAGCTTTCATTTCTTTTTAAAAAGTGAGTTTGTAGCCCATATCATTGCCAATATACAAGGGGAAAGGCATATCTTCAAGACAAAAAAGGGATAGAGATATTTTTTAAAATATATAATTATTTAAAACATTGTTATATCACCTTTCCACCCAATCACAGTCCACAAGGCCGTGAACATAAAGAACATTAAAACATTTGAGCAAATAAATACCCCAAAAATATAAAATAATTTAATTAAAAAAACATAAATGAACAACACTAGAAGCAGGCCAGTAACTGTTATGGGAGTTATGCCGGATGAAAAACCAAAGTCTTCACCTGCTGGCAAAGGACACCAATAGAGGGAGACAGACTAATCTCCCAGGGGAGGGGATCCCAAAGTTTTGGTGCCATGACCAAGAAGGCTCAGGAGCTGGGGTGGCTCAAGTGGTTAAGACGCTGAACTGCAGGCTGTGGAAGGTCAGTAGTCCAGCAGTTCGAGACCCGGGTGCCGCATGATGGACTGAGCTCCCATCTCTAGTTCCAGCTCCTGCCAACCTAGCAGTTCGAAAGCAAGACATTGCAAGTAGATAAATAGGTACCACTTCGGTGGGAAGGTAACAGCGTTTCGTGCGCCTTGGTGTTTAGTCATGCCGGCCACATGACCACGGAAACGTCTTCGGACAGCGCTGGCTCTTTGGCTTTGAAATGGAGATGAGCACCGCAACCCTAGAGTCGGATTCGACTGGCTTTTGAGCAAGGGAACCTTGCCTACGGGGAGGGTGGGATAAAAATCTAAATAATAAATAAATATAAATAATAAATACCTTTACCTTTTTACCAAGAAGGCTCTTTCTCAGGTTGCCACCCATCTATATTCAGATGGTGGGGGCAAGTGAAGCAGGGCCTCCAAAGATGACCTGAGGGACGAGGCGGTCCTTAAGGTATGTTGGCCCCAGGCCATACAGGGCTTTAAAAGTACCAGCTCCTTGAACAGATCCTGGAACTCGAAGCCAGTGTAGATGGAACAAGAGTGGAGTGATATGGTCTCTATGACCCACTCCAGTCAACAGGAGAGCTGGGATTTCAGAGGACCTAGTAGATCATTATAATGCTTTAGTAGTGGTGGTGGGGCAGAATCTGGGGTTGCAAGGAAAGGCAAGATCTCAATATTTTAATAATGAATAACACGCCAGTTGCAGACCTCAAAAAAGCCCTCGACTTGTTGAGGTAAATGACAGTGGGGGTGGAGAGTGAGGCACACAATGCCGTCTTAATGTGACTGCAGCCTACAAAAAGATACACTTTCCTGTCCATGTAGCATATAAATATAGTGATTGTAAATGTTCCAAAATGTTCATAACAAATCAGATGTGGAAAGATTGCAGCAAAGAGGGGGGAATGCAGAAAGTGAGTGATTAGTGCTATGTGGATGCGCTGAAAACAAGAACAACCCCACCATTCTGGTTTGGGTGCCAAACCAGAGCAAAACTTCCCGGTAGAAGCAGCCAAGGAATACTTAATGTAGGATTTATTACATTTTTTGTCCTTTTTCTTTCTTTCCTTGAATTATTTTGAAATGTGTTTTGCTTTTTAGAATTTGCACGTCGCTATTTGATTTCTTTATCTTTATTTTGTGTGTGTGTGTCGGGGGGAGGGGGAGAGTAGAATTCTAAAGTAGCTCTCTAATCCCTGGTGATCTTGTTGCAGCCAGATGCTTTGATCTCCAAAAATCTGAAGCCATGCTCCGGAAGGTAAGAGATTTTTAAGCTTTCTCCCTGGTGTTCTCCTACCTCCCAATAGGATGCCCACTTCAGGATAAGGCCCTTCCAGTCACAGTCAGCACGTCTCAAATATATGGCTACCAGCAATTTCTGCAGTTTTGAGACTTTACCTCAAATATTTAGATATCTGTAACCACAGAAGAATTTTTACCCTTTTAAGATATAATGCCTTACCCTCAGCTATATTGGAGGCCAGATTTACTGGATCACTGAGGAAAAGTTGTATATGTGAGATGGCAACTGATGAAACGCTGGAACGTGTAATTTTCTATTGTAGTTTATATCATAACACTAGGGAAGTTCTGGTTAAGCCTATTGTTAACTCCTACCCAGGTTGCAATAGAAGGATACTTTTGTCAATTATGCTGGCAGGTAATAATCAAAAGCTGACTAGGATGGTTGCCAAATTGATTGGTTGGCATACCAACCTAGGAAAGAGATAAAGACGTACACATAGGCCTAGATTTATTTTTAATCTTTGATCTTAATATTAAGTTTTACTATTTCTGTATTTTAAACTTTTTAGATTCCTATTTATAATTTTAGATGCTATTATATTTTATAATTTTACTGTTCTTTTACCTGTTATTTACTTACCTCTTACGGTATTGTTTTCTGGTCTATGACTGTAATAAATTGATTGATTGATTGGTGGCAGTTTTGGAGGTATATTGATCTCTGAACTTAGTAACAGCTTTGCAAATGTTGCTTTTGTTTCACAAAGAATCAGAAAACAAAATGCAGTCTCCCTCTCTCTCTCTCTCTCTCTGTGTGTGTGTGTGTGTGTGTGTGTGTGACTCCCAGCCTGGCTCCAGGTTGTGTAGTGGAGCCTCAGACAGGGGAGATATTTTCTGCAAACCTTAAAGGTAAAAATAATAATAATAAGGAAGCAGGAGGTAAAGAGAATGACTCTGTTGCAGCTTCACTTAGAAACTGGAAGTGAGTTGGGGAGAAAGAACTGGGCAGACAAGCAGGAAAGACAAGAAAGATGGGGAAGGAGGAAATCAAAATGGAGCAAACTGGATGACCTGTACGGCCCCCTCCAACTCTTTGATCCAACAGGGGAAATAGAGGCTGAAGATACAGAAGGAAGCAGGAAAGGGGGAGAAATTACAATGGGGAGGGTAAGGAAGGACAGGAGATATAGTTGCAGATGAGCCCTTCTACTCTGATGCAAGAACTGATCCATTTCCCTCTCTGACATCCGTGTTCTCTTTGGTTTGTTTTTAAACAGCATGTTGCATTCCGGAAACATATGGATAGTGAGCATATCCATGAATGGAAAGCTCCAGAGGTGAGTTCCTAATGACTTGGCATTTTGCATTCCTGAGCTACAACCAGTGCTGGATTTCTCCACAGTTCTACAACACTCATCCTGCAATCTTAATCCTTTTATCTGAATGTGTATGCTTTCTCCACCGCTCCCAGGTTATTGAGAAATACATGACTGGGGGACTGTGTGGTTTTGACCGGTCAGGTTGCCCTGTCTGGTATGAGATTATTGGACCACTTGATGCCAAAGGGCTCCTCTACTCAGCTTCCAAGCAAGATTTTCTCAAGAAAAAGTTCCAGGACTGCGAGAGGGTACGGGAAGTGGGTAATCAGCAGACACAGAAGGTAAGGCAATGCCTGATACGCCAACAGTGGAGTTTGTATTGCTGCCATTAGAATAGTTGCTCTTTTTGTTAAGGAATAAATCAAAAGTTGCTGTAGATTTTCCAGCTTGTGTGGCCGTGGCCTTGTAGAACCTGACGTTTTGCCAGTAGCTGTGACTGGCATCCTCAGAGGTATAACACAGAAAGATGGAGTATTCTCTGTGTTAAGGTGAGAAGAAAAATGGTAGGCAGGTAGGGATCCTTCCCCTCCTCCTTCTCACCTTGACACAGAGAGTACTCCATCTTTCTGTGTTATACCTCTGAGAATGCCAGTCACAGGTACTGGCGAAACGTCAGGTTCTACAATGCCAAGACCATGGCCACACAACCCAGAAAATCTACAGCAACTAATGAACGATGGCCATGAAAGCCTTCAACAACATATTAAATAAATCAAAAGCTTCCAGCCTTCTCAGGCCCAAGCTGGTGACCTGAGACTCCATTTTAATAGCTTACAGTATCTTGCCCTCCCCAATGTTTTTTTAAAACAGGGGAACTCACTGCTGCAGGATATAGTGGTAGCATACATGTCTTTCACAAGAGATCAGATACATTCGTAGAGGAGAGGTCCATTAATTCTACTAACATAGCTTAAATGGAACCTCCATATTTGAAGGTAGCATATTGGTTGGCAACAGCAGGGGAAGGCTTTGATCTTGGCATTCCAGCTTGTTGGACTTCTGGTTGTCCTCTGCAGTGAATGAGATGCTGGTCAGAACAGCCTCATCCAGCGAGATGGTTCTTTCTCCTTCCCCTCTATCCCCCTCCCATTTAAAAAACAAAACAGCAAACACAAGAGAGAAAATGGTGCAGTGGCTCATCTCAGATCAGGGCGCAATGGCCAGGTGAAGGCCAGTGGGAATAGGCAAGGTGATGAGGACTCCTGATCAGAGACCAGTTGATTTCATCATGCAGTTCAGTGATAAACAAAGCTTAAATAGCAAAAGCGCTGCTCCTTAAAACAAAGGGACATTCTCCTAACAACTCTTATCATTAATTCCAAAGCATGGCATCTGCTGCTGTGATGTTCTGAAGGAAACTCCCTGCCACGAGAATTGGTGGTAGCCACTAGCTCAGGTGGCCTTAAAACAAAGTTTAGACTTTTCTCCCTCGTGGATTTGTCCGTCAGCTGATGTTAGCCATAGTTGCTCAATGTGATCTCCATGTACAGGGGTGGTATACTGGGTGGAGAAGAACAGGTGAAGGTTATTGCCTCCATGCCCTGCTTTCAGGCTTTCCAGGGGTGTCTAGATGGCCATTGTTGCAGACTGGATGCTGGGCAGAATCAACCTTTGGTCTAATCTGGCAAAACATTTCCCTTACTGCTTAAAAAGTCTTGGCTGTATTCTTTAGCACACGGCAAAACATTCCCCTTACTGCTTAAAATGTCTTGCCTGTATTCTTTAGCACACGGGCTCTTGTAGACTATCTGTGGTCGTCACTTAAATAACTTCAAGGATGGCCACCAGTTAATTAGCGAAGGAGAGTGTTGTGCATTTTATTTAGCATTTATTCTAGACTGTTGTGTTCATGTGTCAAACTTATCTGATTTTAGAGATTTGTGTTGGATTCGAGATAAGGGAGAGAGACAATAGTTTAAGGTTCTTAATTTTGCATTAGATTCCTCCTTTTGATTTTTTAGATATTAGTAAAGTTTTGAAGTTGACATGCACTTTGGAGGTTGTGGGTCTTATTTTAAGGGCTTAATCACACACGACAAAGCCCTCATGCATCCCCATGTGTGAGGCATGGTCCCCCCCTCAAGGGTTAATGTGAGTGGTTATGGGCCTGTTCCATCCTGCAGGTGTTATTAATTGGTCTCTCAGCCTACACAACCCTTATCGTCTTCAAGGCCAGAGCTGGAAATGTGGTAATTAGCTTCTCATGAGAACCTGTGACCCACAAGATGCGAGAAGGGGAATCAGGGGTGATGTCGTTTTCTAGAGGGTTCTGACAAGAAAGTGTCCCGATTGGGTGTCATTATCCCCTGATGTTGCTTGGCCAAGAAACTGCAACTGAGCTAAGAGCCCAGGAAACGGAACCTAGCTTGGATGGACTGAAGCCCTAAAGGACTATGATATGCTTATATTGCAATAGACAGCAACATAGAGAACGCATGAGCTGTGGTCTTTGACTCTTGGACTTAAGGTCTGTGCCCTCTAATGCAGGTTCTGTAAATATGTTAGATAGTTTAAGCCAGTTTTCTTGTTTTCTGCTGTAGGATCCTAGAGCTTCGTGTTGCCTGTAGATAAAATCTTTTGTTTTGACAGAAATTACATAAAGCTTCATATCATTTTTAAAAATTTAAACAATGGTTTGATTACTTGTGTACTACAACCCTGGGGACCCATGGGGTTCAGCTTTGGACTCCTCTATGCTGTGCATCCACCCCGGTCCTGTTGAGCAGACCAGGCCGTCCCTTGCTCAGAACTTCATTCTGAGCTATGCAAGGACCCAATCTGAACTCGGACCATGAGGAAAGAGCTGCTTAAACCCGCCCCCCCCCCCCCGTGCTGTTTCCCCCCAAAGCTGCTGTTGGCTGTCTAGGGAAAGCTGGGGTGTACCGATGGGCTAAACAGAACATTCCAACCTGGAGAAGAATGAATAAGGCCTGTGTGTATTTGATGATGTTTTTTGTCCTCGTTTGCTCCCGTTTCTTCCTTTTTAGCTGGGGAGGAAGATTGAAACCCTCACAATGATCTACGACTTCGATGGACTAGGCCTGAAGCACCTCTGGAAGCCTGCCGTAGAAGCCTATGGAGATGTGAGTCTGGTGGGGGAACCCCTGCGTTGGCATGTGGGGTGCTTCTGCTGGTCCCTTGTTTGGTGTGCCGGCTCAACAGGCTCCTGCTCACTCCGCTTTAAATATGGGCACAAGGTGCTGGAGGAGCACAGGAGGAGACATGGATCTCTTGGGACCTCAGAGTGCAGGTGGAGAATCACATGACTGCCCCCCCATATAGAAATCTAGCACGGTTGGTTAAATTGGGGGGGGGGGGGGATGGAAGACAGAGATTTGCCTGTTGAGACCGGAGAGTTTATAGAGAACAAGAGAAGGCTAATTTGAGGAGTATGGAGGAATTTCCCCCCACTCTCAGTCAATGTTCCCTCTAAGCTGTGGAGTCTTGTGAGCAAAAAGTCTACTTTGTGAGCTACTGGCATTGAAGTTGTGAGCCAGTGATTTGGCTGCTGCATAAATTAGCTTGCTCTGGAGCCCATCCTTCCTGAGCGAAGACAAAAATGTGTTAGCCGGTGGCTAAAAAACTGTGAGCAAGCTCACACTAATTCAGCTTAGAGGGAACACTGCTCTCAGTTCTTGGGGGGGAGGGGCAGCTTACGTACGCATGTATTTCTTTTATAAACCACTTTGGATGTGCTTTGTTTCCTTGCACGTACAGCTTCTTGCCATGTTTGAAGAGAATTATCCTGAGTCCCTGGGGCGTGTTTTTGTCATCAAAGGTGAGCACGGCTTTTCCATGCGCTCTGCGCATCAGCTTTGAAAATGCTCATGGCGGTTATTGCAACATGACGTGCTGACACTGCTTTTTGCCTTGTTGCAGCTCCCAGGCTCTTCCCTGTAGCTTACAATCTGGTGAAACACTTACTCAGCGAAGATACTCGCAAGAAGATCGTGGTCCTGGGATGTGAGTAACTCAGCTTTGCTGGCTATTTCTAGCCTGGCTCTCTATTATTAATATAATTGCACCTTCAACATGAATGGCTTGGTCCAGACGACAGGGAGAGAAGCCCCTGCCCTGAGAAGTTTGCAGTCTGATCTTGGAGGCAACGAAGAGAACAGAAAGGGAGGAGAAAGAAGTGGCGGCAGGGATAAAAGAATACGGGCTTATCCGACCTGCAAGGTTTTGCTCCAGCTGGGGAAGAGAGAAAAGAGTTTTGCTGGAAAGGTGTGTTCTGAGCAGAGAGCTGAAGGAAATAAGAGAGGAGATATCACACCAGCATCCTGGGAGGGAGCTCCAGGCATAAAAGGAAGCCAGGGAGAAGGGCCAGAGCCATTCGAGGGAGCAGGAGACCTCTGGCTGGTGGCAGATGGTGAAGGAATGGATTTCAGAGAGAGTGCTGGGTCAGGATGGGGTGGGCAAGGCCACGGAGTGCTTTGAAGGTAAGGGTGGGAACATCGAGCTGGGTCCTGAAGTGAGGAGGAGGCCAGTGCAGGGATTTGAGGGTTACGAATGGCCAAGAGGCCAAGAAAGGTGAATGGTTTTGGGTGTCATAGTGCTGTATGGAAGCAAAGGGTCTGCACTAGAAGACCACAGAGCAGACAGTTGCAAAAATCCATGTAAAGGATTACCCGTGTGTGTATGCCAGAGAGGGACTGGAGGGAGAAGATCGTATTTTTTGCAAAAGGGGAAGCAACATGACTAGCAGTGCAATCCAAAGCAGGTCTTCTCAAAATCCTACTCTGGTCTAAATCAGTGGGGATTACTACTCCCAGGAAAAAGTTCTTCGCATTGCACTATGAATGGCCAATTGACTATTGGGTGGGTGGTGAGAGCAAAGGAGAGGGAGGAGTCTAAGCCAAAGCCTGGGCCTGGAGCCTGTTCGACAAGATCCGTGATGGCAGACCCAAGAAGCTGCTGCTTCCTGAGTCAGACCACTGGTGCATCTGGCGCAGTGTCTGACCGATTTCACACAAGAGCTGTGCCGAGGTCAGTCACGCCTCCCTTTGCCCCGCTTCTATTGGTCAATTTCCCACTCAAAGCTGTGCGGCCGCATTTTGATCCACGGCTTTGCCCGATTTTCCCCGCGGTTTCGTGATCCTGTTTTTAGAGGATCATGAAATCGCAGGGAAAATCGGGCAAAGCCGCGGCTCAAAATGCGGCCGCACAGCTTCGAGTGGGAAATTGACCAGTAGAAGCGGGGCAAAGGGAGGCGTGACCGCGACACAGCCCTTGTGTGAAATTGGTCTCTATTACTTTGGCTGGTTGCTGCTCTCCAGGATGTCTGGCAGAAAAAAGGCCATCCAGGATCATATAACTGGCAATGCCAAGGATTGAATCTAGGACCCTGCACATTGGGTCATAGCCCCCTCCCCTCTTTTCCCATATGGGAGGGTAAACTTCTGGTTCTGACATCCAGCCTGGCACTGTAGAACTCAGGCATCCAGGCTGAGCACGAGGCAATTAACCTGCATTTATCTTGCTGGCTTTTGAACTGGGTCCACAAGCAATTTCCCCTCCTGGCAGTCTACACAGTGTATAGAATCAGTCTGATAAAGCATCTCCTAAAGGGTTCAAGCCAGATAATTTTGCATTTGCAAGATCTCAGTCCTGACCTTTGGATTCTGTTCCACTGGGTTTCATCTACAACTCAGTACCTTTATGCCTTCTTGGGGAGTGCCTTTAAAAAAAAATAGAAACGATTGATCTGTAAAATCATTCCCCACTGTGCAGGACTGGCTGCAGGAAATTCCTCTCTGTAAAGGGAAAAAGATGGCTTGTCTCCTAGCCAAAGTTGTCCCTTTCTCTGGAGGGCAAATTAAGCACTCCCAAACTGTTTCCTGGCCGATACTCTCTTTCCAGTCTTTTGTTTGGGCTTCTTGTAATTGCCACCACAAAGGACTCTCTCTGTATTCTGGACAGCATGAATGAACCCATTCAAGAAATCTGCACTCAGCCACTTAGACTCAGACCGATTTCACACAAGAGCTGCGCCGCGGCCACGCCTCCCTTTGCCCCACTTCTATTGGTCAATTTCCCACTCGAAGCCCCACGGCTGCGTTTTGACCCGTGGCTTCGCACAATTTTCCCTGCGGTTTCGTCATCCTCAAAAAACAGGATCACGAAACCACGGGGAAAATCGGGCGAAGCCGCAGGTCAAAACATGGCCGCGGAGCTTCGAGTGGGAAATTGACCAATGGAAGCGGGGCAAAAGGAGGGCGCGACTGCGGCGCAGCTCTTGTGTGAAATCGGTCTCAGACTCCCCAAGCAGAAGGGAGCAGGACTGCAGCCACAGAAAGAAGTAGCATTTTATCCCCCCCCACCACCTGCAAAAAATATCTCAGCCCTCTTCCGTGAATTCTCTCTTCCTCTCTTTAAAACAAATAGCAAACTCTTATTTATGAGGACTTTAAGTAAAACATAGTCTGACTCGGGTTTAGTCAGTGGAGCTTACACCCAGGAAAGGATTCTTAGGATTGCACCAATTGAGGATCGGGCGGCAGTACTTCTTTAAAGTAGTTTGTTACAGTTCTTTCGTTTTTCGTCTAGCGCAGTACAAATAATTGGACTGGCTGACAAGCACTTTTGTTAAATGCTACTGACATTTTTAAAAGTTAGGTTGACCTCAAAACCAGGGGCAGACTAGGAAGCAGAACTGGGCCTGGAAAGGACCCGGCCCTCCGTGGGGGAGAGAAATGAGCAGAATCTGGCTCTCGGATCGTGCTGTCTGCTTACCCATCCCACACAGGGCCCATGCAGCCAGCTTGCTCTTTGCTGTAGCTATTCACCTGCCCTACGCAGGGTGAGGGGCTGCTGGCTTGCCACAGTGGCAGCTATGAGGACCATCCCAAACCAGCCAAGAGCTGCTCCTCTCTTGGCTCCTCAGGTTATCAGCCCATCAGGAAATCTCCAGGTGGCCTTAATGCCCAATCTGCCAAAAGGTCCCCGGCCTTTTGGAGCCTGTGGGCGCCTTTGGAATTCTGACACGGGGCCGTGGGCACAGTCACAAAATGGCAGGTGTAGGAAGCAAAGCCAACCACAAAATGCCAGGGAGAAAGGTTACCTTATCACGCCAATAGTCACTTTTCAGCATTTCAGGTAGATGCTATGTTTAGCAGGATGCCTTTTAATCTGTACAACTAAACAAAGCCCTATTGGACAAAAAAACCCATCTAGCCCCACCCACTTCCTACAAGCAAGTGGCAGGCACCAGGACAGGTGCTGGTGGGCACCACAGTACCAACTGTAGGGCTGCCAGGCCCCCTGGGGGGGCGGGGGTTTCCCCACTGAAAGGGCCCCCAACCGGCTGGTCCAGATCCAGCCAGCAGCGGGAACCCCACCCCCAAAGTGGCCAGATCGGGCTGACGTACCCGGAATGATGATGTCACCCAGAAGTGAAGTCATCACGCTGGGCACGTCACCGGACAACGCTCTAGCAATCAGCCTGGAAACTCTATTGCTTTTAGGGTGATTGCTAGAGCATTATCCGGCAACATGCCCAGCATGATGACATCACTTCCGGATGACATCATCATGCCGGGCATGTTGGCCCGATCTGGCCACTTTGGGGGTGGGGTTCCCCCCGCCAGCCAGATCCGGAGCGGCAGGTTGGGGGCCTTTTCGGCACGCTTCATGTGCACGCAAAATAATTCCTGGACGGGGAGCAGGACTCCCCCGCTGTTATGAAGGTAGGACTTGGCAACCCTAACTGACGGCCTCCAAGTTGGAGACCCCTGCGTTGACTTCCAGTCTTCATATATTCAGATTTTCAATTTTTTTGCACTGACTTTTTTAATGATGGCGAACCCAGTCTCCCCTACTCATGCACCTCTATGAAGAGTCTAGCTATATGCCCAAGAGAAGAAGAGATTGGATTTATACCCCACCCTTCACTCGGAGTCTCAGAGCGGCTTACAATCTCCTTTCCTTTCCTTTTCTCACAACAGACATCCTGTGAGGTAGGTGGGGCTGAGAGAACTCTGGGAGAACTTGTGACTGACTCAAGGTCACACCAGCAGCTGCACGTGGAGGAGTGGGGAATCAAACCTCGGTTTTCCAGATTAGAGTCCTCCACTATTAACCACTACACCAAACTGGCCCACGAAGGAGCATCAGTGTCTTTTATTGCCATTCAGCTGGATAAGTGTCCTAGTTACTTGCAGAGGTAGTAACCAGCTGCATTTAATTGAAAGAAAATTAGGCTAAGCGTGGAAAACCTGCAGTAGCAGCAGCAAAGGCCCAGGAGGGGGTGCAAGTCACCTCCCCCACCAGTGATAGTTGGGAGTGAGCTGTGCTTCTGTGAGAGGCATCAGCACCCTTTTCATTGTGCCCCCATTGCAGGACAGCTTAGCCAGGATACCAGCTTTGGATTTGAGGTGGTATCCCAAGAGAGGATTGCACTGGCACCTTCATCCGTGTCATTTCTAGTCTTCAGTTTGCACCTCTCCATTTACATATCTGACTGAGAAGGCCCAAGGTATTTGGGTACCTGAAACAGAAAACTGGAGCATCCTTCCTTCTGCATGCTCGTGGTGGCAAAAGATATGGCCTGTGGCCTCTGCTCGTTGTAGTTCCACAGTGGGGCCGAGAGCCTCTACGCCATCCTTTCTTTCCCAGCTGGAAGCAAATGGCTCAGAACAGGTTTTAGGCAATGCTGTGTATGCAACAGCTCTTTTCTTTTTACAAAAACCCTGCACCTTTCTTAAATTACGGCACCAAAGGAGATGTGTATCTTTCTGTCTGAGTTTAATAATTTTTATTCTTCCGTTCACTGTCAAGAGAGCCAGTGTGGTATGAAGGTTAGAGTGTCATCCTAGTATCTGGGAGATCCAGTTTCGAATTCCCACTCTGCCACGGAGGCTTGCTGGGCGTCCTCAGCCCACTCTCAGCCTGACCTGCTTTGTAAAGTTGTCGTTAGGATAAAATGGAGGAGAGGAGAATGATACCAGCTGCCTGGGTGGAAGGCAGGATACAAAAAGAGTAACTGAATAACTGCGGAATGGTAAAAATGCTAAAGAGGATGCAGAGTCACTAGAAATCCTGCTCCACCCTTGTTGCTATGCTACGTCGGCCCAATGCTGGTGATCACAGAGAAGCGGAGTCAATCCTAGTTGTTGCATTTATCAGTGTATGGTTTTTATCTCGTTACCATAAATGCCAGAACTTTGACACTTAACTGGCAAATTGTGAGACTTTCCAGGAGAAATCCTGTGATGAGCAGAAAGCAATTCTGCTTTTGGAAACTGGTAACTCTCTTACTTTCCCCCTGTAGCTAACTGGAAGGAGGTTCTGCACAAACACATTGACCCTGCTGAGATCCCTGCCGAATACGGAGGAACTCTCACTGACCCCGATGGGGACCCAAAATGTAGGACCAAGGTATGGACACTCCAGGTCAAGTCTTTGGTACCTGAGCCCTTGCGAGATTAAGTCCTACAGTTAGAAAAGCTGATGGTCTGCATTTTAGTCCAGAGGAAGAGCTAAAGCCGGTTCGTACACTAGAGAACAAGAGATGATACTGCAGGGCTGGGCAGGGAATACAGCAGGAAGTGTGTGTGTGACACAAGGAGGGAAGCAAGAAATCACCTAAGCGAAACAAAATGGAATAAATCCTGGAGGTGTATGCCTGATCACTTGGCTCCATAACCAGAGAAGATTCTACAAGAAGAAAAAAAGGGCTGGACCAATTGGAGCAAAGAAACAAAGGGAAAAAACCAATGGTGCACGGGGAAGACGATTTTATTCCAATATAATAATAACCCCTATGTGTTTGGCATTGAGCTTCCTCATGGGGATCTTTACATATGTCAAAAATAAAAGAGAGAGAAAAATAACAATTATCTTTCAACTGTATCTCTAAACTATTTGTTAAACTTTCAAAACAATAATAAAAACATCTTTAAAAAGAACTTCTGAGCATGTACAAAAAGTGAAGGGTTTTGTACATGCTCCTTAATTCTCTCTCTCTCTTTTTTTTTGGACACACGCTTCTTTGGGGAAGATTCTAGCCAGCTATATCTGTGACCTGACCAGGAAGGCCCACAATCTGCCTGTCTCAGTTTGGGGAGCAGAATTGGAGAGTAATGGCATCTGGCTAAGGGATCCCAGAAGTCCCCGGTCTGTAGCTCATCCTTTTTGCCACGACACCTGCTTGCAAATAAGTAAGGCTTGATTTCAAAACAGGAAATTGGCTAGGGCAAAAGCCCTTTCCCACGGGATTTTGCATTCACACATTGTCTCGGTTAAACTAGGCTGATGCCTGCACAGAGGTGGCAGCTGAGTTTAAACCAGACCACTACGCAAGAGCAAAATTCCACGAGAAAGGGCTTCTGTGCAAATACTGCCCTGTTGAAGTCAAGCTTAGGGGTGTTGCCTGTGGAAGATCGTGCCACGCAAAAAGCTGTGTTTCGTGTCTGTGTTTTGGCAGCCATCAGGATAAATGGATGGGAATCCTTCTTGCTGTGGGTTGGCCACCGAATTAGGCTGAGTCCGTTTTTTCTTTTTAGTCCAGTCAGAGGTCAGGTGGATTCTGCAGTCCAGCAAGTGGAAGCAGAGGTCCAGCTCCAAGGAGGCAGTTTGTAGTCAGGCAGGAGAACTGGAAAAACAAGGAAATGCAGGCCAGGCAGGTTGAGACAAAGAGCGCCTGGCTTGCTGGCCACAACTTGTAGAAGCAGTGACCACAGCTACCACTGGCCTGACCCAGAAGTTGTGGAAATGGTCCTCAGCTCCTTCAAGCCATACTAGAAGCCAGTCAAAGTCTGGGAGATTTTTGCAAAGAGAAGCAGAGATAGTTCAGTGTTTGCTGTGTCATCTTGGCTAGCCTATTGGCTGAGGCCTCATTCCAGAACCAGGGCCAGCACCAATGCTCCCTTTAAGCTGTGGAGTCTTGTGAGCAAAAATTCTACTTTGTAAGCTAGTGGCATTAAAGTTGTGAGTGAGTGAATCGGCTACTGCATAAGTTAGTTTTTTCCGGAGCCGTCCTTCCTGAGCTAAGACAAAAATGTGTGAGCTGGAGGCTAAAAAACTGTGAACTAACTCAGCTTAGAGAGAACACTGGCCAGCACCTCTTGCTGACTGAGATTCACACAGGGTGCTTATTTGGGAAGGCTGCTGAGTAGGGCCCGGAACTGTCCAGTGCTAGCAATGGACTTGCAACCCCTGTAGGAGATGAGAGATCTCAACATCCACAGAGGAATGGGAGTCGGGGAAAGAGCAGTGAAGGAAACTTTCAGGTGGATTTTTGTTCCAGTGTTTTTATTTTTCTCTGGTGTTCCACCGTGCACAGCCACTAACATGATCTCTTGTTTAGCTAAACTACGGTGGAGACGTCCCCCAGAAATACTACGTCCGAGACCAGCTGAAACAGCAGTACGATCACTCGGTGATGGTGAGCAGAGGGTCCTCCCATCAGGTGGAATATGAGATCCTCTTTCCGGGCTGTGTCCTTAGGTAAGCTGGGGGGAGTACGGGGAACAGGAATGTACCTCCCCTAGGATACAGCCACCATCCAATCATAACACTCTTCACTCACCCATCCAGCCCTCCTGTTCTGTACTGTAAGAGGCCTGCATTTTAAACCATAGCAAGCATACTTCCAAAACCCCACATTAATTCACAAAAAGCAAACACACACAAGACTTACATAGCAAAACATTACAGGGAGGAAGCCTCAGTATGCAGATATTGCTAATTAATGAGTTTATTTTTTTTACCTTGCCTTTCATAAGAGACGGCAATGTTGGATCAGGCCAAAGGCCCATCCAGTCCAACACTCTGTGTCACACAGTGGCCAGAAATACCAGGTGCCATCAGGAGGTCCCCCAGTGGGGCCAGGACATTAGAAACCCTCCCACTGTTGACCCCCCCCCCCAAGCACCAAGAAGACAGAGCATCACTTGCCCCAGAGTCCCTATCTATACCTTGTGGCTAATAGCCACTGATGGACCTCTGCTCCATATGCTTATCTAATTCCCTTTTGAAGCCGTCCATGCTTGTAGCCGCCACCACTTCCTGTGGCAGTTTCCTATGCTGATCTCAGCACAGCCTACGTAACTGTCTCCCACTCATTTTAGCCTTACAGCCTTGGGAGTAGGACAGGCTAAGAGACCGTGAATGACTCAAGAATATCCAGTGAATATCATGGCTGTGTGGGCATTTATCTAAGATCAGGACTAGAACAACAATATTACACTGGCTATTGCATACACCACTTAAACAGATCTCTGAGCACAACATACCCACCCTCTCTGCTTCCTTGTCACTGCTCCCTCCTAAGTCCCTAAATGGTGGTGTGTTATCCTTTCATCCTGCCGGGTCCATCCGGAGGACTTTTGATTAGATTGCAAGTGCTGTGCTAGGAATTAAGTTCCCAAGCAAGCACATGGGGGCCTCATTCAGATTGGGACTGTGGTGTGCAGGGAGAGGGGGCTTAAGTCTCCCCCCATGCCTTCGTCTTAACCTGTAACTGCAGTGGGGAGCACTATTTGCCCCACTAAGGAAACCTGCATGCACTCATGGCTACATATGAGTTTCCCTAGTGGGGCAAACAGCAGCTACCTGGCTGGGACCCTTCCAGGTTGGGAAAACATTATCATAAGAACATAAGAGAAGCTGTGTTGGATCAGGCCAATGGATCAGTCCAACACTCTGGCTGATATCCCACAAGCCGCTGCTCCGCACTCGTTCTTCCTTTTGCCCCGATCGTACGTGTCAATTTCACACTATGTGCTGCAGGGCAGCATTTTGCCCCGCAGCTTTGCCTGATTTTCCCCGTGTCTACTCAATCCTCAAAAAACAGGATTGAGTAGACGCAGAGGAAATCAGGCGAAGCTGTGGGGCAAAATGCCGCCGTGCAGCACATAGTGTGAAATTGACACGTATGATCGGGGCAAAGGGAAGAGCGAGTGCGGAGCAGCGGCTTGTGGGAGATCAGTCTCTGTCACACAGTGGCCAAAACCCAGGTGCCATCATGAGGTCCATGAGGGGGCCAGAACTCCAGAAGCCCTCCCACTGTTGCCCTCCCAAGCACCAAGAATACAGAGCATCACTGCTCCAGACAGAGCGTTCCATCTGTATGTTCTGGCTAATAGCCATTCATGGATCTCTGCTCCATATGTTTATCCAATCCCCTCTTGAAGCTGTCTGTTTGTAGCCACCGCCACTTCCTGCAGCAGTGAATTCCATGTGTTAATTACTCTTTGGGTGAAGAAGTACTTCATTTTATTGGTTCTAAGCCTACTGCTCATTAATTTCCTTGAGTGCCCACGAGGTCTTGTATTGTGAGAAAGGGAGAAAAGTACGTCTTTCTCCACCTTCTCCATCCCATGCATAATTTTGTAAACCTCTGTCATGTTACCCCCTCAACTGTCACTTCTCAAAGCTAAAGAGCCCTAACCTCTTTAACCACCCAGTCTCCTTGAATGCTGCAATTGCAATTCAAATGGGGCCCCCGTGCACCTAGGTAATCAGGTTCCTAAGACTGAGCTCACAAACCACATCTGAGCTCACAAACCTTTCACCTTTGAGATCTGTACTGAGGGCCCACATAAGCTGTGTTGGGGTGGGGGAATTGCATGAATGAGTGGGCACTCCGCCAAGCCAGAACTTCTCTTTGCTTTTCTGTCTTACAGGTGGCAGTTCATGTCAGACGGGGCTGACATAGGCTTTGGGGTCTACTTGAAAACCAAAGCCGGAGCCCGTCAGCATGCTGGTGAAATGGCTGAAATGTATCCCAACCAGCGCTTCAATGCCCACCTGGTGCCTGAAGATGGTTCCCTCACCTGCACAGACCCTGGTGTTTGTAAGTATGCCTGTAACCACTTGTGGATTCCCCTTGTCCACCCTGGAAGGAAAGAACTGATTTCAGGGATCTCACTTCATCTAACAGGCAAGGGCTGCCCCCACTGGGGATAACCAAGCCCATGCACTGGGGCCAGCACAATCACTCAGGGTTTGGCAACCCTGGGGGGAAAAACCCATTTTACAGAAAAGTCTGCATTTGTTGGGGGGGGGGGGAAAGTTTAGCAGGGAAATCCTCCAAAAATCTTACAAAGTCTGCACATAAAGCAACCTACTAGAATTCACGTGGTTTCCTTGGTTGCCAGAGAAACCTAAAATGGTTCACAAACACTATGGTGGCAGCCAGGAGCAAGAGTAGAGAAGGGGGGTGGGGTGGGGGGACACATGCCAGAGGCAGAATACCCATGAGTCCTTCTGGTCCTATTTCTGCAGTAACCTGCTCTGCACTGCCATTTCAGGGGAAACATTTTAAGCAATTTATAATTTGAACATTCTATAGAACTATGCTCTAACATGTGCCTTCTGTACAGCATATTCAGGCATGCTTTACACATGTTGGCATTCAGTTCTGTACACTGGCTGGAGCTCTCGTTTGTTCTCTGGGTAGTTTTCTGATCCAAGATAGTGGGGTTTCCTGGACTAGAAAACCCAGAAGGCTCCCTTATCCGAGGGAGGAATGGCCACCCCAGATCCCGTGAGTCGAATGACAGACAGAGAGTGGGTTTTAGGATACTGAATTCCATAGTCTGCCTGGACTTATTCCTTTCACAAAACAAAACAAAAATTCTGCCCATGTTGAGAAGACATTTCTGCCTAGGTTCCTTCCTGCTTACGTTATGTTATCCTCATGTCCTCCCTGGGTGCACCACAAAGACTTTCATCTACACCCTGCAAGCTCTGTGTTAGGAGGAATTCTATACACGCCCAGTGGCACTCAGTCCTGGATATCAGAATTTTTATAAACAGAGAAAGACAGCCCAGTTCTGTTTTCATAATGCAGTACTATGTGGGCTTTTTCTCTCTCCACACTTCTACTCCCTCCCCCTCTGCAGATGTCCTGCGATTTGACAACACATACAGCTACATCCATGCCAAGAAAATCAGCTACACAGTGGAGGTGTTACTACCAGACAAGAAATCCGAAGAGCAGTTCCAGGAACTGGAAGACCAAACAAAGGAGCTCAAAATCAACCATGCCTGATTGAACTGGTCCCGTCCCTATGCATAATAACCCCAATTGCCTCTCTTCAACCTATTTGAAGTGGTGATGGTGATAGGGTGGCAGTAGGGTGAGGAAACAGAATGAACTCTTCAGAGGTAGAATATAGGCAATTTGGGGAGGTAATTTGGGGTTGGGGGGCTAGCAGGGGTGATCTTGCCTTGGAGCAGCAGGACATGACAAAATGATGTTCCCTTCCAGTCCCACATGCCGCGTGGAATGACAGATATCCCCCCCCCCCCCCCTCTGTGGTTGAGGGGGGACAGGCAAGGCAAAGTTTAAGTGCCATCAGAGATTTGGCTTATAGAGCCAGTATCTGGGATGAGCTGCCCCCTCTGCCAGTCTAAACCGGCACAAAACTGGTGAGAAGAAGTTGGGATTGCTTGCCTCTGCGTTCACATGATGCTTTAGATCTTTAGACCCACATATAAGGTAAGAAGGGGGAAAGCAGCAACCAGATGCCTCTTGGAAGTCCATGTGCAAGGCATGAGAGCACCGGCCCCAGAGGTTCCTTTTTGTTAGCCATTAATGGGTCTCTCAGCAATCCTACCTTGGCTTTTTAAAAGGATCACACATCTAAGCTAGAGCCCATTGCAGCCTCCTGTGGCAGCGAGTCCCACCAGTTAATTGCACGTTGTACGCAGAAGCCTTTGCCCCCTAGAGCCTTCGTTTTAAAAACAGGTCTGCCGAATTTGTGCCATTCACCAGCCACGTATGTTGGCCTACCAGGCGCTCGACAACCCTGCTGGTTTTGCAGTCAAGGCAGAACGCAGTTGAGTGTCTGAAAAGGCATCTGACTAACTTCTCCCACACTGGGTTTGTTGCTAATCAAGTGGCTTCCACAGCTAAGCTCTTGGCCTTGTTTATCTGCTGACCTAGACGTGTAACAGCAGTCTATATGGGGCCGCTGACTGCCATCCTGCCCAGGGCTGATGCTGAATGTACAAAAACCTTGCCTGAGATTTGCAGCAGTTTGCACAACGGTCATTGGCTGCTCCTTTTTTGAAACTGGCAAAGCTAAGACTGGTTCTGTTGCACCTGCCCATCTAGAGGTGGAGAGCAAGAGAAGAGGGAGGCCGCTCCCCCCCTCCCATCACTCTTTCTTTAGGACAACTTTGTGGAAGCTTGGAGGCCCTGATCGAGATGGGAAGTTTCTGGATTGCAACATGTTTAAAGAATGGTTCTTCCACTGGCCCTTAACTTTGCCGCAAAACCGAAGGATTTCTTGGCCTCGCTGGACTTTCCAGGACCAACGTAGCACTTTGTTCTCCTTTGTCTTTATTGTGGTTGTTTCCTATAATCGCGAACACTAGAAATATTAATAAATGGATGTCTGTCAAGCTGGTATTGCCCATTCTCTGGACTGCCACTCCAGTAGACTTCTTCAGGGTTTGGGGAGGGAGTTAGTACTTTATGAGCTAGAGGCTCACAAAGGATCACAGGAAAGGGATGAATGGTTGGAAGACCTCCCTAAAACTCTGTCACCCCTCCGGATTTCTCTAAATTTTTAGGCACTTCAGCAGGCTAATTCTGCTCCTCACATCTTTTCCCCTTGAAGTCTTACACAGCTGCTAATGGATTCAGGCGGGGTAGCCATGTTGGTCTGAAGCAGCAGAACAAAGTTTGAGTCCATCTGGACTCTAAATGACCCTTCCTGACAACAACCCCCACCCCACCCCTACAAGTAATGGTTGAGGAGGTTCTGTTCCACTGTATCTGAGGAAGTGTGCTTGCACACAAAAGCTTACGCTGTGAATAGAACTTTGTTGGTCTTAAAGGTGCCACTGGACTCAAACTTTGTTCTGGAGCTCATCATCAGGCTGAGTTTGTGGTTTACCCCGCCCCCGTTTCCTTCGGCAAAATCACAAAATCATATTTTTCTGCATACCTGGGGAGGCCCCTAAACAGAAAGGGAACCTTGCCTTGTCTGGGGGGTGGCCTCATTGTGCAGCTTTTATCATCTACAGAAGGCCAGAAAGTTGTTTATTATTAGGGTTAGGAAGCAATTTTTCTCCAGGCCAGTTTGGCTGGGGAATCCTGGAGGTCACTGGAGGGGTGGGGGGGGTGGGTATTTGTGAATTTCCTGCCTTGTGCAGGGTATTGGACTAGATGACCCTGGAGGTCCCTTCCAACCCTATGATTCTACTGTAGTGGTAGAAGAGGAGGCCCATGAGAAATCATGGGCGAGGGAAATCCCATTGGTCCCCTACCTCTTCTGTATCTCCTGGATGCCATAGCTCCCCCCCTCCCATCACGGCTGCCTCTGCCCATCCTGGCTGCTACTTTGGAAGCCCCCCAGCCAAACCTTAAGGAGGGACCCCCATTGTGTATGGCACTTCCTACAACAGCCAAAAAATGATGTCTAAACAGAGATTCATTGAGGTGGGTTTTTTTTAAAAAGAAAGATGGACACCCCCCCCCCCCCCCAAAACTGGGGCTCCTCTCTGCAAAGGTTTGCAGAACTTTCAAATGGGCCTGATCCCATTGTACAGATTTTGCCATCCACATGGGGCCGGATCATCAGAATGAGGTATAGTGATGGTGATCAGATGTGGTCCTGATATGTGGCAAACTGGGGCAGCTGCCTTAGATGGTAGACTGAAGGTGCTATGGAAGGTAGAAAAGGGTAATGGGGAACAAAGATCTGAACCAAAAGGAACAGTCAGGAAGTTCTCCTGTGTAGGCATGGCTGGAATGAACGGGAGCCCTCTTTCAGCAGCACCCTGTTTCCACCTGTGATTTCCAGTTTTGCTTTGGAGGCACAGCGGGATTTGTTAGGATGTCTGAATTGGGCATACGCTGGGTACTCCATAACAGGAAGTACAGAAGAAATCTGTGCACACAAGGGGAGGAGGGACAGCGTACATACCCCATGCCTGGATGATCTATGAATGGGAACAACAGCTGGACAGTTTACTTGAAAACAAAGTTTGAGTCCAGTGGCACCTTTAAGACCAACAAAGTTTTATTCAAGGTATAAGCTTTTGTGTGCATGCACACCTTTTCAGATACCTGAAGAATTATCTGAATATCCGGTTTCTGAAGAATATTTGAATATCAGGTATCTGAAGAAGTGTGGCTGGAACACGAAAGCTTAGACCTTGAATAAAACTTTGTTGGTCTTAAAGGTGCCACTGGACTCACACGTTGTTCTGCTGCTTCAGACCAACGCTTCTACCCACCTGAATCAGTTTAATTTAAGACTACCTCCTGTGCCAGAAGCAAAGTCGATCCTTAGATCTATTGTTTGCATTGCTAGGCTTTGATTGCCGGATTAAGAAAATCAGCAGCTGCCTGGAAACTTTGCAAATCTCTAGGAAAACCAGTAAGTCAGGTTGAGTGTCAAAGAAGAGCCAACTCCCTCTTCAGCTCAGTACTTTCCCACCTATAAAATAAGAGGGAATGATGTAATGACCATGCAGGGTTCTCCAATATAACACAGTGGCATCTTTTTAGACTAGATGGGATGATTTTATTGAACTTGCCCTTTTTGCAGTCAATGCCCACTGCCATCAAATGCATTAGACTACACCTGCTACTTCCTTCGTTAAGAAGTATAATCCCAAATCCACTGGGTTTAGAAGGGTTTCACTCTGTTCAGGGTTACACTGAAAGTTCTATACAAATATTCCCTTTTCAATAAAAAAAAAATCATTCCTATTATGCTGAAAAGGTGAAACTGGTCCCTTATCTCAGGTACTTCCCAAAGACCGGTAAATGTCCAAATGACACAATTATGCAGAAGATCTATGCTAGGATTGCCTTTAATATTTTTCTTTACAAAATTAAATGTAGCTCTGAGCAACTCCCAGTTTGCCTAAAGAACAACCCGGAGGAGTTTATTTATACCCCACCCTTTATCCCCAATGAGAACCCAAAGCAGCTTGGATTTGTTCTCCTCAAAAAGGATGTGGACAGAATGGAGAGGAGCAGAGGAGAGCAATGAGGATGATTGGGGGTCTGGAGACCAAGCCCTATGAGGAACAGCTGAGGGACCTGGGAATTTTTAGTCTGGAAGAGGTTGAGGAGGGACATGATTGCTCTCTTTAAGTATCTGAAAGGGTAGGAGGAGGGCAGGGAGCTGTTCCTGTTGGCAGCAGAGGACAGGACTTGCAATAATAGGTTTAAATTAAGGGTGGGAAGGTACCAACTGGATATTAGGGAAAACGTTTTGACAGTAAAAGTTGTGCAACAGTAAAACAGTAAAAGTTGTGCAATCAGCTGCCTAGGGAGGTGGTGAGCTCCTCCTCACTGGCAGTCTCTAACCAGCAGCTGGACAAACACTTGTCAGGGATGCTCTAGGCCAGTGGTGGCGAACCTATGACACGGGTGCCAGAGGTGGCACTCAGAGCCCTCTCTGCAGGCACGCGTGCCATCACCCCAGCCAGGCCCAGACCATCATTAAAGTGTCGAATTCTCTGCCAAATAATTTTAAGTAAATGAAAGCATTTGGGATTGCTTTCCTTACTTTGTTTGGATCATCTTAAGTTAATGTATGAGTTGTTTTTTTCCTAAAGTAAAACCTCAGTATTCAGGTTAAATTGCCGTGTTGGCACTTTGCGATAAATAAGTGGGTTTTGGGTCGCAGTTTGGGCACTCGGTCTTTAAAACGTTCGCCACCACTGCTCTAGGCTGATCCTGCATTGAGCAGGGGGCTGGACCAGACGGCCTGTACAGCCCCTTCCAACTCTGTGATTCTATGTTCTCCACTTTATCCTCACAAAAACCCTGTGAGGCAGGCTGAGAATGCCTGACAGGATCAAAGTCACCCAGCAAGCTTCCATGTTTAGAGGGGGATTTGAACCTGGGTCTCCCATTTTTCAAGTTCTACACACCAGGGACTTCCAACACCATTCCCTCCCCCAATTCAAGATGTGTCTTCTCTCCCCTGCCTTCCAGCTACAAGGAAATGGTCTAGGCAGCATTGTAGAGAGCAACTCCTAATCCTGAAGCCCTCCTCCGTCACTGAAATGTTGCTAATAGATTTCACAGCACAATATATTGACATAAAATATTGCATAATTTAGTGTGTGGTATTTGTTGATAAATACACTAACAACCATGAATTTACTAGACAGGTGCCCTGTTTGACGCTGTAAGCCACTGGTCTCCAGGCCAAATTGGAAAGAGCTGGGTCTACAAGGCCTGGCCCCCGTCCTAGAGAGGCCCATGAGTTTGGTGTAAGAGGAATATAAATGCATCCATTTCTGGTGGGATGCTTTATGATTAATTCACATATACAGTACCATGGCTCCAATTTGATAAAACCTACTGCGGTGGCTCAAGTGGTTAAGACGCTGAACTGCAGTCTGTGGAAGGTCAGTAGTTCAGCAGTTCGAGACCCGGGTGTCGCAAGACAGAGTGAGCTCCCGTCTCTACTTCTAGCTCCTGCCAACCTAGCTGTTCGAAAGCAAGAAATTGCAAGTAGATAAATAGGTACCACTTCGGTGGGAAGGTAACAGCGTTCCGCGCGCCTTGGTGTTTAGTCATGCCGGCCACATGACCACGGAAACATCTTCGGACAGCGCTGGCTCTTCGGCTTTGAAACTGAGATGAGCACCGCAACCCTAGAGTCGGACTCGACTGGCTTTCGAGCAAGGGAACCTTTACCTTTACTACTGCGAAATTTCCCAGACAGGCAAACTTGAGGTCTCCTCATTCTGGAATTTAAGCAGAAAGCTGAAATAAGCATGAAAAAAAAACCTCTCAAGGGCCCAATCCAACCAAAATTAGATACCTTCAGGTCAAGTGATGAACTCGCATTCTAGCTGCATCTGAAGAAGTGAGCAGTGACTCAGGAAAGCTCATCCCCTGACATAAAATTTTGTTAAACTTTAAGGTGTTACTACTCTTGTTCTTTTCGACTGCTGCAGACAGACTAACATGGCTACCCACCTCGATCTATCTTCAAGTCAAATCGATTTCAAAAAGAAAATATTTAACAACACGCTTTAGCATTAAGATATAAAGGCGCTTCTCTCTTTGGCTGAGTCTTGCCCACAGCACCGAATAAGGAAAACCACATCGCGCTCTTCACTTTCTGGGTTGTAAATTACCTTGGCTGGAATAGCGCGCCCCAAAACCAGCAGTTTCCCCGCTATTGGTTTTCTTGTGGCCGCTCAAGACCACGTGTTTATTATCCAGAGCTGCTATAGGAGGATTTAGGGTGGGTTTGTAGCCATCTTTGTTAAGGGTGGAAGTTATCCGGCCGCAGAAAAGAGGAGAGGTTATGTTAGGGATCATTTGCCAATTCCCATCTCCTCTCACAAGTGTTCAATATGATAACGATTATTTCCGCCTAGTGGAGCAAGAAGAAAGAGTCTTCTGGCGTCGCACGAATTTTCGGGGCCCGTCATCAGATGCATCTGCGTGGGGCTGTACTCCACGGGAATTCACGCTACAATACACTTATTCCTCTTTCGCATATCAAAAGTCAGTCCTAAGAACAATTCCCTGGGAGTAAGTCCCATAGAATAAAAGGGGACTTCGCTCCGAGTAGACCTGATTAGGATTGCTCCCTGAGACTACCTTTCTGAAATTTGTTAGAGAGTACAGTCATGGCTCCCTGCGTAGAATTCAATGTTTGTGTAAACCTAAAATATGTCGGACAAACACGTCTTGGAGACACGTCGTACCAAAAAACAAAAAAAACACCAGGAAGGGAACACTCATTAGAGACCCAAGAGACTGAGTGCAGCTTCCCTGTTCAATTTAGCCCGCGAGGCTCTAAAGAAAAACGTGTGCTTAGCCAGATCGGAGCAGACGACATAAAACGGATTAACGAAGAGTGTTGTCTCTCAAGGATGCAACTTGAGTCAAAGAAAAAGTGTTCCTTATTTAAAGATGTCAGCTCTGTTGCTATTCCGGAATTTCTGCTTTATTCTGTCTTCCGACTGAAGTCTGTGCAACCCGCTCATATAGATCACGGGGCTCCTTGCTCACTTTGCTGTGACAGCCGAAAGGAGGTCACCTTTAAAGTGACATTGATTATTGGAGCCAAATGGCGTTACAAGATCGCCATCTAGTGGTGCTAATTGTCTCTTTGTCCATAAACGAGAAGCAGATTAGCGCCTAAATCTTTCTTCCATACCCACCTTTCTCATTTGAAGGCTCAGATTATCAAATTACACCCACACACAGCTCTAGCAAATTGGACTGAGTGTTCTAGAGAAAAGGAAGGGATCTTTCAGTCCCTTCAAGATTATGAAGTAGCACTGCAGTCCTCTGGGATGTGGGACTAGGAATCCACCAACCTTTGGCTTCCCAGTGGGTCCATTTCTTATATTTACTAGCTGACAATGGCAGCATTCAGTGACTGCTTGCATGTATGAATGGGCCATTGCAGCTATAATGCAGCAGACAGAACTCTTTCACATCCCCTTCCCTGCAGTGTGTTTCAGTAGAGGCCATTCAAAAATTCAGCTGACCAACACCGAGGCCTGCTTTGCACATACCATACCTGTACATTGCTTGATTGAGCTAAGCAACTGAATGTGTGAATTAAGATGAAAGCAAGGATTATTTGGGATGGCTTTTTTCACACATTCAAATAATCACTGAGTCTCCCTTCTGTGCTAGCTATCTGCTTGCACTGTGTTTTTAAAAGTTTTTTTTAAGCATGCCAAAAAATGTGATCCTTCCCCATGCAATTCAAAGTGGCGTTATCTGCTCTACTGCCTCAGCATTCTACCTTCTTGATCTCCTGCAAGTGTGAACCAAGTTTAAAAGTCAAAACTTTGGGCACTAAGTGTACCTCTTAAGGGAGTATAAAGTTTGCCTTGTCATAATCCAAGTTGTGCATTAAGTAGAATGTTGCCTCTTCAAGCTTGGATCAGGGAAGGGAGGTGAATCCAGAAAAAGCAAGGTGCATGCATCAAAGGTTGCAGAACGAAAGCTTCACTTACCAGCATGCAGGCAAGTAGCTGGGTGCATTCAGACACACCATTTGATCTGGTGTTGTGACTGTTCAACAACAGATTTTATATGCACAATCACACAGTCAACATCTGCCTCCAGTCCCCAGTTCCGGCTCAAAACCCCCTTTAACCCAGAGTATTTTGTTACCAAGTTCCAAGTGGTGTTTTCTCAGTTCTCCCATTTAAAGCCGCATTTTTCCCCTGTGTGATCGCTCCACCGGTGTCAAGCCAATTCCGGTGGTTTAAACCCCCTCCCTACTTGAAAGCTGCTGCGGAAGCCCGAGGCTTCCACTTTTTGCCCACCATTTTCTTTTAGCGTTGGTGGTGTGCGCATAGGCGGAGCTTCACTTCCACATTTATAAAACCGATGCTTAAACGGTCTCTCATTTTAGCGTTTAGATGAGTTTGGGATCTCACAGAGGCTATTTTCGGGTCAAAAGTTTAAGGGGAAGTCTTTTGTTGGAGGGGTTGGATTGATTTGCCCTGGTGGTTCTGTGCATGCGCCATGATAGCTTCCCCCCATTCTATGAGCACCTATGCACATGCGCATACTGAGAAAAATTTTTAAAAACCCGCTGACACACGCTCCCGCACATTGGTAGTATAGACACTGAGGAGAGATGTGACTGCATGGTGAGGCGGGATAAGGGAGGTGCGATCGTGATTATCCAGATCAAAGATAATTGCGTCAGAACCGGACCAGTTTAAACCGCTCTCAGCACACCGACTGAAAGCACCCGCTGTGTGGTTTCCTACTAGGCTTACATAAGCAAACATAGCCTTTAGGTCTACAATCACAACATGCTATGAGGGCTGTGGCCAATCACAGGAGGGATGGTTCCAAGCCAAGCATCCTTCTATCATGGAGGCAGCTGTTTCTGGATGGGTGCTCCCTAGGGTTGCCAACATCCAGGTGGCACCTGGAGATCACCCACTATTACAGTTGCCTTCCAGGCAACCAAGATCAGTTCCCCTGGAGAAAATGGCTGCTTTGGAGGTTGGATTCTATGGGATTATACCCCACTGAGGTCCCTCCCCTCCCCAGGCTCCATCCCTCAAATCTCCAGGTATTTCCCAACCCTGACCTGGCAGCCAGAGCCTCCCTGCAGATACAAAAGCGATATCTCCTGGCAGGGGTCATTTCGTAGAAAAAGAGGTGCAGGAGCTCATTAGCATAACCTATTAGCATAACTTATTTGCATATGCCACACCCCCTGACATCACCAGAAGTGTGTCAGAAGGCAACACCCACCACTCAGGCTCCACTGGACTGTTTTGGATTCCTAGCTGTTGGGGGGGGGGCTGTATTCCCTGTTTCAATGCATTAAACAGATATGATCTAACTCGTTGGGCGCAGACTGTGTGTTTCCAATTTGGCAACGGGAGCTCGCAGACAGATTTGTGTATCAGATGTACATAACTGTGCTAATGACATTGACACTCCCCGAAACTGGGAATGTATTCCAGGTGAAACACTCCATACAGGAGAGATTTATTGAATATCCCATCCTGTAAAGCTGTCATTTTGGTAAGTGACAGGCTCCATTCATATAACAGCTAGTTAAACTGATTTATGCTTATGGGGAAGAGGGTGGAAAGGTTTCAGACAAAGTCAGTCAGAAGTTCAACAGGTACAGCTTTTCCCCTTGCTGCCTGCGCGCATCAGGAACAACGGCACCTCTTGAACGGCTGCCTGATTAGCGTGTTTTTGAACCATCTCAGTCAGTTCTCAGGCAGAGATAAGTCTCTCTCAGGATTTGATACTTGAGATCTTTTAAATGGGCATGCCTGCCGCCTTTAACGCGGGCGGTGCATTTCACCCTACGGCTTAGCCCTGGCGCAGCCCCGAGCTAGCAGGTTCAGTTTAATATAGGTTATATAGTTAGAGGGTTAAACTACTAAAATATGTGTCTGCAACGTGGAAGGTGCATATAACAAACTGTATGTAAGCGGAAAGGTTTTTTAAAATAAAAATCTGTTTCCCCCAAAATCTCTTTCCCCAAGCTAGCAGGCTCTAGAAACCCTCGCAGCCTGAGTTTCTGCTTGCAGGACTCGGAGAGGAAGTTTGGCGCGGGGGGCGGGAGGCGGGGGGCTCCTGCGGGCTCTCCCCGCCCTCCCTCTAAGCAGGCGGCCAGTGGGAAGGCGGCTCGGACGGCCCGGGTCGGATTCGTCCGGTTCCATTGGCTGCCCGCTTCCCAGAGCGGCGCGCCATGCGGCGAGGGCTGGGGAGGGAGACCCCGGCAGCCGGGCCTGCTGGAGCTTCGCGGGCGCCGCTTCTGGCCCAGTGAAGGCGGCAGCGGTGGCTGCGATCGGCCCAACGGAGTCCGGCCGGCGATGGCGACTCACGTTGGGGAGCCTCCGCCCTCGCCACAGCCGCCTCCGCCCGATCTGTACAGGGACACGTGGGTGCGCTACCTGGGTGAGTGCCCTCCGGGCGCAGGCAGGGAGAGTGGGCATCTGTGCCTTTAACAACCGTGTGGCTGGCAGGGTAGAAATCCAGCAGGGGTGGTGGCGAGTCTGGCGACGGTTGTGCCGCCCGCGCTTGTCAGGTAGCCGTTGAAGGCACACAGGAGCTCTGCCAGGGAAGAGGGGTGGGTGACCTCCCGTTCGTCCTGGTCGTTAGGAAGTTGGGGGTAGTCGAGCTGGGGAGTGACGTGACCGGGGAGACCCGTGTCGGGACTTTGAAAACAGCAACTTCTGAGTAGCCACGTAAAGGGGGAAGGTTGATCCGAGCGGAGCACGTGTGTGTGTGTGTGTGTGTGTGTGTGTGTGTGTGTGTGTGTGTGTGAAACCCCCCCCCCCATGCCGTTTTCTTGAATCACCCTCACCACCCCCATCAGCAGCCGGGTAGCCTCGCAGGGCGGAAAAGAAACGCGTGTGGCCCTCCCATACTGTGACCTTGGGTGAAGGCTGTTTTGGGGGCCGGCGGGCGGGCGGGCATACAAACAAAGGCTCCTGAAGATAAGGAATTGCCAGGCTGTCCCCTCACTTCATTTCTTCCTTTAGCACAGAAGTGCTGAATGTGAATTCTGGAAGCTGATATTCATATGGGCACTTGGTGACTGCCCATGAGGGACATTGAGAAGGGGAGTGTACCGAGGCTTTATGGAGAGCCGGTGAGGTGCTTAGAGAGCAAAACACTCTCTTTGGAAGGCCTGGGCATTCATTTTATTTTATTTATTACTTTCAGTTTGTATCCCGCCTTGCCGGTGCAGCATAGAAAGTACTACAGGATGCTGTATACAGATACTATAGACGGAATATTTGGAAATAAGTGAGGATAAATTTTGAAATAGTTTGTTTCCTGGGAAGACTAGGATTTGGGGTTTGAACATAGCAATCTGGACAGTCACGTTTGCCACAGCTACACATGGGAAGAAACATCTTTTCTTTTGCAGACTAAAAACCTCTGTGGGAGGCTGCGTTCTTGAGCAGGAAGTAATCTTTTCTCCTCTGACTGCTTTTTTTTTGCTCAAAATTTCCCTCTAAAACTTCTTTTCTCCTCACAGAAGAGAAGTGTGATCTGAGAGAGAATTTAAGTGGAACAATAACCAGAAAGATTTTAAGTTTTTTCTTGTTCCTAAATGCAGTCTGCCATCATGGTTGCTTGTCATTTAAAAAGCCCAGGTGCTCCTTGTTGTGACTGATTGGGAGGTGCAGTTTGGCCTTGGGCTGGAATCTAACCTGATGAGTTCACAGTGGCCTCTGGATGCAGAGAAAGAGAGGCCAGCAGCACTGGCCTGTGTGATTGGCCCAACCTGGCACCAGTAGTGGGAACCTGAGCTGTGAACTATGGCCTCTTGCTTGCTGCAGTGCAGGCCCCTCCTCCTAGATGGGGCTCTGGGCTGGGAAATGCTTCACTTTTGGTTTCTGGCAGCTGCCTTTGGGCCCTGCTCTGGCAATGCAATTCTCTGCCTTCTAGTGAGTCAGACCATTGGTCTGTTGAGGTCAGTATTGCCCACTCTGACTGGCAGCAGCTCTCCAAGTTCTCAAGCAAAGGCCTTTCACATCACCTGCTACTTGACTGTTTTAGGTGGAGATGCTGGGGATTGAGCCTGGGACTTTCTGCATGCCAAGCAGATGCTCTCTGCCACAGAACCACAGCCCCTCCCCGGGGTTTCAGCCTTGGCCTCTTCACATGGCTCTTGGAAGGAAGCCTTGGCCCTCACGAACCTCCAGCTGCCCCAGATTGTGGCTGTGCAATGCAGTCTTGCCCACTTGCTGCTGTCCCAAAGAGGTCTGAGCCTGGATTGATCTATTGTTTTCATTTACAGAACTTAATACCCCACCTTTCTGCCCTCCTTTGGGCCACCAAGGCAGCTAACAGATTTAAAACATATATAATAAAAATGCACCTTAAAAGCTACTAAAACCAAACAAAAACACATCACTAAAACAAAGTTAAAGTACACATAAGGTAAAGGTTCCCTTGCTCGAAAGCCAGTCGAGTCCGACTCTAGGGTTGCGGTGCTCATCTCCATTTCAAAGCCGAAGAGCCAGCGTTGTCCGAAGACGTTTCCGTGGTCATGTGGCCGGCATGACTAAACACCAAGGCGCACGGAACGCTGTTACCTTCCCACCGAAGTGGTACCTATTTATCTACCTGCAATTTCTTGCTTTCGAACTGCAAGGTTGGCAGGAAAAGTACACATACATAAAGATTAAAACATCAGGCAGGAAGGATGGATTGCTGAGACGAAACAAAAAAGCCTTCACCTGCTGGCAGAAGCCAGCAACAGAAGGGGACAATTGTGTTCCAGAGTTCTGGTGCTGTGACCAAGAAGGCCATTTCCTGGGTTGTCACCCACCTAGTCTCAGAAAGCAGGGGGCACCGGCGGCAGCAGAGCCTTGGAAGGTGACTGGAGCAGTCAGGTAAGTTCATAAGGGAGTAGGCAGTTCTTCAGTTATGCTGGTCCCAAGCCATGTAGGGCTTCAAAGGTCAACACTAGCGCCTTGAATTGGGCCTGGAAACAAATTGGGAGTCAGCGCAGATTGGTCAAGGCTGGAATGATTATGGTTCCTACAACCTGCTCCAGTCAACATCCTGAGTGCAGCATTCCGCACCAATTAAAGTTTCTGAACATTTTTCAAGGGCAACCCAATGCAGAGAGTGTGGCAGAAAATCTAATCTAGATTTGCTTTGGTCATATCACTCCATCCATTGGTTTTATGCATATTATTCACTGCATTTTTTTTTATCTCATCCATCCTCCAAGGAACTCAGGAGTACCATATGTGGTTTTCACCTCCTCCACTTTCTCACAACAGCCCTGCAATGCTAAGAGACATATTGGCCACCAGTAATGATTAGCCAGGGGCTGTGGTGGCTCAGTGGTTAAGACGCTGAACTGCAGACCGGAAGGTTGGTAGTTCAGCAGTTCGAGACCCGAGTGCCGCATGACGGAGTGAGCTCCCGTCTCTGGTCCCAGCTCCTGCCAACCTAGCAGTTCGAAAGTAAGAAATTGCAAGTAGATAAATAGGTGGGAAGGTAACAGCGTTCTGTGTGCCTTGGTTTGTAGTCGTACCGGCCACATGACCACGGAAACATCTTTGGACAGCGCTGGCTCTTCGGCTTAGAAACGGAGATGAGCACTGTACCCCTAGAGTCGGATTCGACTGGCTTTCGAGAAAGGGAAACCTTAATGATTAGCCACCAGTAATGAAACACACTTCATGACTGATCAGAGATTTGAATCTGGGTCTCCCCAGTCAGACATTCACTGAAATTACATGGCAAAAAAAGAAGGGTGTCAGCTGAATCCTGTGTAGGCTAGCAGATGCATTCGGCAACTTTGTCACAGACTGAGCACTGAACATTAGAATGGCCAAGGTGTTTCTAGAAGTGGGTTGTGGGACAAGATCTTGGCATGCACCGAAATAGTCTCAGGCAATTAGAAGAGACAGCTGCAGAACACTCCAGGAGGCCAGGGGCATCTGACGGGAAAATAGAGCAATTTCTGAGTGTAAAATGGAGCTACTTACAAATACACTTTGTATCAGGGGAATTTGAGAAGCACAGATTCTTGTGTAAAACTGCATTCATTGGGCAATTTCTGCTGAGTTGGGCTGAACAGCTTTTATCAAGGAGACCTTCCTCCATCCCATCTCCAGTCCTGAGAAGGGCTCATGTAGGACACCAGGAGGAGACGGAGGAAGCAGCAGCTGCCCTGTGCAGGATATCAAGCACTTCCCCAAAAAACTGCTAAATATAATCCATCAAGAACAGCTGCTGTAGCAAGTCCCAGGAGGCTGACATGGACAGTGGAGGTGAAACACTGTACTGAGAATGTATAGACAGGAAAGGCGTCTCTACTTATGATCCAAGGGGAGCAGAAGATTTTAGTTACCCTTAAAGTCAGCAGAGTGGGAGATGGAAAGATGTAATCCACATATCAGGAGGACACCAGTTCACCGGGTTGTGCTCATTTGCAAGTACCACTGATATAAGTATATTGCGAGCTCTCGCACAGCTTTTTTCAATGAATTTTGCGCATGAGATTTTCCTGGTGGAATTATGCCCCATGTTAATCAGTGGAAAGGAGGTGCAATTTGTTCTGCCTTTGGTCCCAAAAATGAGGGGCAGGGTGGGTGATGCAAGAATTTAATCTGTTCACCACATGTGCCACTTTGCTATATCTGAATGAATCCAGCAGTCCCTTGTTGATTTTGAGGTTGACGAAAGAGAGCACCGCGTATGTAGCTGAATCCATTTGACACTGAAACATGAGAGCGGTAACAGCAGCCTGGGGAAAGAATTGAACTGGTGGTGGCAATTATCAACTGCTGAATCACTGTCCATATTGAAGTACCTCTGAGTACCTGATGTTGGGGACTAAGTGCTGATTCACACATACATGTTAACTGGCTGATAAATTACACATGTGGATCAGCCCTCACAGATCAAAAGTTTCCTATTGCCTTGCTTCAGCTCAGACACAATGCTTTGCAGTGTCCAGGGGTCATTTCCTGCGGGAGCGCACAGGAGTGGAGCTCCGGCAGTAAGGAGCCCAGGGGGTAGGCACATGCAACAAACCCCGTCCTCTGCTCCCAGGAGCAAGAAGCAGCCAGGTAAGTTGCAGAGCCCACCTTCAGGTACAAGCTCTCCCTCCTCTGTGATGGCAGATCTGTGCGTTCCCCCCCACCCCATAGCTAGCAATCCGAAACAGTCCAGTGGAGCCTGAGCGGTGGGTGTTGCCTTCTGACACACTTCCGGTGATGTCAGGGTGTGTGGCATATGCAAATAAGTTATGCTAATGAGCTCCTGCACCTCTTTTTCTACGAAATGACCTCTGGCAGTGTCGATCACCCAGGAGCAGGGTGTGATATTAACCCGTAATAGGGTGTGCTGCTTATGAACTTCTGTGTATAAACTCAGAAGAGAATCTTCGTTGATGGGTCATTGGCCTGAGCTAGCCTGCCATTTAAAAAAACTTTTCTCAATAAGTCTGGGTGCAGTTCACAGGCGGTACCAAGCCGTGTGCATGGCATGATTCTCCAATCCATGACCTAGCTCACCACGATCCAATTAAGCAAAAACTGAAGACTCGAAGTAAGAGGTAATTTTCAATCAAGTTCAATACTCTGTCCATCAGTAGTACCCAGTTCTTTCTGTCTCTACTCTGTATGGGCCCTGCCAGCCAGACCAACCTGTCACGTTCTTTACAGTAGATTTCCACATTCTGAGGCATTACCTCTTTACAACTAGAGTGTTCGCAGTAATTCTGTGACATTACTGAAGGTCAGCCAGGATTGTTGCCTTTATTTTTATGTTCAGGACAAAGTTGTCTAGATTAAGTAGGGATAGATCGGCCTAAATTGTATTTTACAGAAAGGCTGACAGATTGTGATGATGCTGTGAGAAGTAGGCGGGTTTTTAAAAAATGTGTAGATACTGTTGGCAGAGTAATGAACACAGCGACAGTGCACAACCTGATTAAAGAGTAGATAAAGGTCATACTTTATTTTAAAGAGGAGAGACAGAGCTGGGTTCCTGACTACATCTCTAGCTGAGAGAGAGGGTAAGACTGAGTGTGGTGCTTGCGAGAAGAGGGGAATTGCCCTGAGAGAAGATGTTGACCTCACTACCCTATCTAAAAGTGTCTTCTTGCTGCCCCCTGCAGGGTCGTCTTTTCTTCTTTGTACACCAGACATTGCCCTTTCCAACAGATACTGAATATACTCACTTCTGAAAGTCACTTATATGGTTGCTTGTGTGCTGCTATCGGTAATTTTTACAAAAAAGATTCTTTCTGTAGCAGTGTGTAAAGTCTGGGATTGTGGGAGAGGCGTTTGGTGACCTTTGCCCTTTGTTGCAGGATATGCCAATGAGGTTGGGGAGTCCTTCAGGGCTATTGTGCCTGTCTCATTGGTCTGGACGAGCTATGGAGTGGCAACAGCCTACGTGACAGCAGATGCCATTGATAAGGGCAAGAAAGCACTGGCTGTGAGTGTATGAACTGTTAATCATGCCCTGGTTTTCACTTTGTAATCTTTTATAGGTAAGGGAGGCAAGCAAAACAGGAAGTTTACATGGTCACATAATTGATTTCCCAAATTACTTTTCTGTGGGTGCTTTTTTACGGGAGTCACAAATGTAATAAACAATTATAATTGCCCATTTCTGTAAAGGGGCCAGGGTCAAGTATGGGAGGGGCTAAGGGGCAAGACAAAAGGATAAGGGGAGGGGCAAGAAAACCAAGACCAATATAGGTGTTCTCTATTTACTGCAGTAAAATATGCACTAAAACCCTTTTGTTGTTTTAATATTTACACAGCCCAAACTCATGTCAGCCAGGCACTGTATGGGAAGGCTTTGGTCCCTGCCCCAGAGGGCTTACAGTGCCATATTTTTTTAAGAAGAGAGAAGAACAAAACCAAATACACAATCAGGGAGGATTATCAGAGGTGGCTGGTGCTCAGGAAAATGAATTATATGGGGATATTTAAAACATGCATTCTGCTAGACCAGGGGTCCTCAAACTTTTTAAACAGGGGGCCAGTTCACAGTCCCTAAGACTGTTGGAGGGCCGGACTATAGTTTTTTTAAAAAAAACTATGAACAAATTCCGAGCAGGGCTCTTCCAGACAGCCCTCGCCCGCGCAGCCCTCCCAGGAGCCCTTGGTGGAATCCACAGAGGAGACCCTCTATTGCAGGATAAATAAACACCTGGCGGGCCGGATAAATGTTTTCGGCGGGCCGCATGTGGCCCGCGGGCCGTAGTTTGAGGACCCCTGTGCTAGACGATGATAATATACATTAGCCAGTGGTTTTCAGATTGGATCTGGGACCCAAAAATGGGTTGCAACTCTCAGGCCGGGTATGAGTCCAGGAAAAGGAGCCTGCAGGAACAGGATGAATTGGGAGAGGAAACTCTGGGGGACTCGGTGGCAAATTTGGATTTGCCTCTGCACTGTGTGTGAAATAGCACGGAATACAGCCGGCTGCTCAGAAACACTGTGCATTTATAAATAATAACAATGGAAAATGGAAATATGACAATGAAAAATGGAAAAACAGTTCAGTATAACTGGTGTAAGATTTTGTCATTTTATATTGGGGATGAAAAAAGTAGCGTGCAGTTACTTTGTGAGTCAGTCCTGGATGATAAAGCAAGTTCAGTGAGTCCTGAACTTGTTCTGAAGTGTGTCCCACTTGAAAAAGTTTGAGAACCACAAGTATTACCATAGCTTCAAATGACCACAAGTAAGTATAGCAGATCAGTCATATTATTAAAAAGCATGCTTGTGAACATTTAGTGGCAATATAAATGGGTCGTGTTAATTCAAGTTCCTAAAAGTCTTAAGCTCATCCTTCGAGTTCATTCCTTAATGCTTTCTCTGATGGTGGTTCACACAGGCCAAGTCCTGCGGGGAAGGTCGGACCACGCGAGCAGCCGTGGCGGTAGTGGACACCTTCATATGGCAGGCTCTGGCTTCCGTGGTCATTCCCGGATTCACCATTAACCGCACCTGTGCAGCCTCCCTCTACCTCATGGGCAGCATGACCCGCTGGCCCCTCTCTGTCAGGAAATGGGCGACCACAGCTGTAGGCCTCTCGGCAATTCCCTTCATCATTAAACCCATTGACAGGTAAGGGCTCCTTTAGCCTCTGAGGCGTAGCTTGGGGTTGAGCCAGATCTGCAGAAAATCCAGGTTCCATACCACTTACTCTGTTGCCTGTTTGTGCAGCGTGACCAGAAGGAAGGGTATAACCTTCCATGACCAAAGATCCTTAGGGAGCCACAAGACTGAATAAATAAGCTGATAAGCATATCAGATCTTACCTACATTACAAAGCGTAAGAAGTCCTTAACATTTCTAAAGTGCTTTAGGGGGAATATTTGAAGTTCTTCCCAGACATGGTCCTGGAAATCCTTCCAGCAGCCCCAGAGCTTGAGTTGGAACAGGGGTCCCCAACACGGTGCCCACTGACATCTTTCCTGGTGCCCGCCAAGTGTTTTTAGAAACTGGGTGGGGCTAGGTGGGCTTTTGCCCAGCAGGGCTTCTGGTTGGCCATTGGAGGTTTGGTTGGCTGTGCAGATTTTTGAAAAGGTTGTTTTCGCAGCAGCTGCTGCCACAGCACAAGGATCTTCACTGTGTGACCGAAGGGAAGCTCCGGCAGCCATTTTGTGGCTGGCTCTGTCTCCTGCAGCAGCCATTTTGTGGCTGGCTCTGTCTCCTGCAGCAACCATTTTGTGGCTGGCTCTGTCTCCTGCAGCAGCCATTCTGTGGCTGCCCGCACTTCGTAGTGTCAGAATTCCAGTGGTGACCATGGGCTGGAAAACGGTTGGGGACCCCTGGGCTAGGAAGCAGCCTATGCCTTCCACAAATTAAAAAGTAAATATATCCATAGACCAATATCAGTTTCCCCATGTTGCAGATAGGAAGATAGGACAAGAGAGGGAAGTTTCCTAAAGCTACTTGCTGTCAAATCAGGGGAGACACTGGAAGGTTATTAACTGGATCTCTAGTGGAATTTTTGTATTGTTAAATAGTAACCATAGGAACCATGGAATCTTTAACTCTTCCCTCCCTTGCTTGGATGGATGGAAACGTATAGGCAATGTTCATGCAACTTACATGTTTTCTCCAAAGGGCAACTCCAGGAGGGCATTTGAGGTCAAGAATACAGTACAGAGGAAGGGTGAAAAGCCACTTCCCGTGCCCCTGTCTGAATCATAGAAACCCCACAACTGCTATTTAACTATTCAAAAACATGCTAGAGAATCTTCTGTAGATGTGCTGGAAATCTGCTCATTAATCTTCCAGTGGTTTGACTTAGGGAGTTTATGTCAGAGGTGAGACTATGTACGTCATACGATATGCAATGCTAGATCAAATGTGTAGACTTCAGCTGAGTTTCAACTGGGCTTCGTCTGTGAGTCTCCTAGTCCAGAGGCTTTAAAATCCTTGCCCTCAAATGCAGTCCTGCTCTAAATCAAAAATAAGCCTGGATATTTGTATCTTGCACAATCACAGCAACATGGTGTTCTGGTTCATCGATCTGCACTGTCCTTTCTCAATTGATCGCTGTTGGCCTTGTTCAAAGTCACCGGTGTTCCCCGCTGCTACAAATCCAGGTTTGCTTGGATTCTTCTAGCACTGGCTGCCCTCTGAATCTAGACAGGTTTTCTGTCCTATCCATTTGCTTTCAGTTCTCTCATGCTCAGGGTCACTTTATGTTGGCAAAGAAACAATTTAATCCCAGGTGATATCAGCAGTGACTTGGGGTTTGGGTTTGGGGTCAGTGTTCCCTCTAAGCTGAGTTCATGTGAGCTAGCTCACAGCTTTTTAGCCTCCGGCTCACCCATTATTTTTGTCTTCGCTCAGGAAGGACGGCTCCAGAGCAAACTAATTTATGCAGTAGCCAAATCGCTCGCTCACAACTTTAATGCCGGTAGCTCACAAAGTAGAATTTTTGCTCACAAGACTCCACATCTTAGAGGCAGCATTGGTTGGGGTGTTGCCTTCTCTTCCAGCAGTAAGTTTCAAATCATCTGGAGGAGTTTGGCATTTTTTAAGAAGCTGAGCAAGGGTTCCTCAGTAAAATGGTTGGTTCTGTGGAGTAGAAAGTGTCTCTGAAATACAGTGCCAATAATCTGTATAATGTGCAATTGCACACAACATTTTCTAAATCTTGCATCTGTTCATGTGGGGCAAAGATGAGGCCCACCGTAGTCATGCTGGCAGATGTTGTGCATAACAGAATGGGTGCTTTGGACGATGACTCAGACTCCTGTGACCTTTGTTAAAATTTCAGGCTGTTTACCTGTGCAGGTTTCCCTAAAGATAGGAAGTTTTGGAAAAGTTATTTCCTTACTGTTTATGTTGTGGCTCATTACTGTAAACTATTTCAAAATCTTTGCCCTTCAAGTAACTTTGTGCGCTGTTTTTACTTGTTTCATGGTTGGCGCAAGTTGGTGTACAGATGCTTCAGCCTGGGGCAGTCAGTTCGTCTGGAATTCTGTGCTTGTTCCTCATTTTACCTGGCTTTCATCTGCTTCTTTTTGCAAACAGGTGCACATTTTAAAGTACAGCATTTTATCCATGAGGATTAGAAGATTAGAAAGAAAGTGAAATCTTGTAGCACAGAAATATATATAAATCTTGTAGCATATAAATAAATCTGAGAATCATATCTGGAGGCAGTATTTCCCACAGATTGTGGTGTGGGTTTTTATTTCCTGCAGGAATCAAAGTCAGCACCATTCCTTACAATTCAGGAGGAATTCCACTTTTCCAGAACTGCAAAAAGAAAAGAAAAAGGGAGCTTTGTTTTTGACATTCTCTGTTCCGCTGTTTCAATATTGTCTTCTTCTTACCAACTCCCTGCAGGTCAGTGGATTTTTTGATGGACTCCAGCCTTCGCAAACTCTACAGCACTGAAGAGAAACCCTCCTCTTCCTTCTAATGTGGCCGCCACAGCCTCAGGTGGCGAAACAGCCATTGGATCACCTACATTCAGTAGCAGCTACTGTGCCGCCTGGCCTGTTTGTGCTCTCAACTTCACAAAGTTGAACTCTAACATAGTGGGAACTGGCAAGGAATCCTACAGCACTACGCCAGCCTGGTGCTGGGAAGAGGTGGACATCAGGCACAGATCATTCTTCCTGTTGTTCATGGACCTGTGATAAGACTGGGGGGGAGGGGTGCCCATGGGTCTGCATAGTGTTTCAAGACAAATGTTTTGTCTTCTTTAGGTATGATAACCAGACAGTGGACTAGGCTGCAGTGGCAGTTGTTCTCAGCTGCAGCATGCATTAGTTCAGTGAAAGATCCAGTATGTATTCTGTACTGTGAAACCCTGAAACATGGGTGGCTAATTGCACTAACTGTTGCACACTTCAGCAGTTTCTGTCATGCTCCCAGTATTGCTGATTAGGTGACAGCCCCCCACCACCACCCAGCAGCCCTTCTCAGGTGGAAGCTTCTTGTAGTTTCTTCTCCTTTACCCACCCTAATAATAAAAGCTTTACTTTAAATCTGAATTAGTGTCAGAGTGGCTGACAGCTGCAGTCTGCGTAGCTGATTCCTGCTTTTAAAGTTGGTACTGCCGCCTTTCGCTCACATAACATTTTGAGTGCTCAGGCCACTTCGCTGACCTTATGAAAGTCCTGGTTCACACAGGACTTGCACCCTTTCAGACTGCGGGTGGTAGATCTGAACCCTGAGTGCTTCTTTGTGTAAAAAGCCCTCCTGGCAATTAGAAAGCTGGCATAGCAGTGAGGAGGATTCTTATCCCTCTCTTTGCTATTCTGGTTTTGTCAAACCTGCAGTCTGAAGTTATGAAGTTCACCTCAGTTTCCTGCAGCCTGGTGTAGGGGTTAGCATGTCAGACTAGGATCTGGAAGACCCAGGTTCGAATCCCCACTCTGCCTTGGAAGCTTGCTGGGTGATGTTGGGCCAGTCACACACACTCAGCCTAACCTACCACACAGGGTTGTTTCGAGGATGATAAAATTCAGGAGAGGAGAACAATATAAACTACTTTGGGTCCCTATGGGGAGAAAGTCAAGTAATAATAATAATTATTGTATGGCAGTATGTGTAGTATAGCCAAGAGATCCTAAGATTGTCTGGCAATCAGAAGTTCTCTTTTAGCGTTATGCACCACTAGGTGGCGAGCTGGACTTGTTTTTGAGGCAAGAGACGTTTCAGAGGTGGTTTGCCATTGCCTGCCTCTGCATCACGCCCCTGGTATACATTGGAGATTGCCCATCCAAATACTAGCCAGGGCCGACCCTGCTTAGCTTTCCAGATCTGACGAGATCGGACTATCCTGGTCAGGGCGAAAGTCAAGTATAAATGAAGTAAATAAATGTGTGACTGAGGTGTGAGTATTCCTTGCAAGGATGCTTTCTTTTTGGCTCTGTCCGCATTGCGCATCCCCCCCAAGATCAACTGAATGGGGCTGGTGTCTTCTACTTTATTTTCCCAAAGTACTGTGACAGCTTGGTTCATTGTACAACCTTAGTGAGTAATGGGAGGACGGGAGTTGAATGCCTAGGATTGACGCTCTGCTTGGTTTGCACTGGAAAGACAGGATGCAAAAGCCACTGTCCATCTCTTGGGAATGCCCCATCACAAAGAGAGGGATGAAGAGGGAGACAGGACTCAGTGCTGGTGAACATCAGGCACAGCTGCAGCAGGGCCCCCCGCAGGTGGTATTGACTGGCATCCCCTGTAGAGCAGGTTCTAAACAAGGTTGTGAGCCTTTCCCTTGTGTGTGCACAAGTGCGGTATGAAAAGCCAAGGAGCGCCAGGTGCAGCTTTCACAATTGCTGCAGCCCAGTGCCGGGTAGAGCTGCACCTGTGGCATTACTGTCTTGTCATTCACTTCAGAAAGGTATAGGTACTTTGACACCACAAAACATCGCTCTACATCCAGGCTGGCTTAGTTTTGGTTACTGCTCCTGCAGGCTGTATTGGTGGCCTGCGCAGCCTGGTTATAGAGTGGGTGGAGAGATACATGCTGACTAAAGGGATACCGAGATGCATCCCCTGAGGGCTTGACACCACCTCACAGGGTACAGTTTCCCAGCAGGAATTTAAAAAGGGGGTGTGAGGCTAGAATCTTGGTCTGGGTGGTGTCTTCCCTCCCTTCTCAAAGTATCTCTGTTTTAGATTTCAAACCCCCTTCCCCTCCCTTTGGATGAATATCAGGGTCACAGTGGCAATACTTAGGCTGCTTTTACTACAAAAGTCCACAAAACAGTGTAGAATGGAATCAAGATTAAAACACGAACCCCAAACCTTAAAGAACTGCACAGGTAAATTCCACAGGAGTGTCGTGGCACCTTGAAAGCCCCAACAAAATTCACACCAATATAAGCATTTCTGACACAAAAGCTGGTGTAATTGAAGGTGTTACTTGCACTCGTGCTCAATTTTGCTGCTGTTGACCACCTATCGGTAGATCTAACCCAACAGGCAATAAAGCAGCAGAAACTCAAATCATTCCATAAAAGCCCCGTTTCTTAAAAAAAAAAGCTAACACCCACATGAAATATAGGCAAGCTCAGTTTTGTCAAGCACCTTTCCTAAATGGGGTATCACTACTGACAGGAAGGTTTTAAGAAGAGTTGGAGTCCAGTGGCACCTTTAAGACCAACAAGTTTTATTCAAGGTGTAAGCTTTTGTGTGCATGCAGACTTCATTGGAGACAGTGAAACAAGACTTCCTCAATCATTACATATAGGTAGAGAGGTGGTGGGTGGAGGGTTTAGTTGCCCGGAACGGCTAGTTAGAGTCAAGATGCATAAGTAACTGGGTGAGTTGGATTAAAGTGGTTGGTAAGGTAAAGGTTCCCTTGCTTGAAAGCCAGTCAAATCCGACTCTAGGGTTGCAGTGCTCATCTCCGTTTCAAAGCCGAAGAGCCAGCGCTGTCCGAAGAAGTTTCCGTGGTCATGTGGCCAGCATGACTAATCACCAAGGCGCACGGAACGCTGTTACCTTCCCACTGAAGTGGTACCTATTTATCTACTTGCAATTTCTTGCTTTCGAACTGCTAGGTTGGCAGGAGCTGGAGCTAGAGACGAGAGCTCACTCCGTCATGCGGCACCCGGGTCTCGAACTGCTGAACTACCGACCTTCCACAGCCTGCAGTTCAGTGTCTTAACCACTTGAGCCACCACAGCTCCTAAAGTGGTTGGTAAGATTACCATAATAATGATACCAAGATTGCTTTTACAGTGTCTTCTCATCTTTGCATTAATCACTGTGCTGGCAAGGTATACCCAAGTCTTGTGCCAAATACTCAACTAATGAAAAACGTGATGTGATAGAAAATTCGATTAGTGGCGTTGAATTTTTCATGGGTGATTTACAATTACCACACACGGACTAATGTTAATTTGGTCACCAGCTGCCATCTTTTATTTAGACAGTTTCCACACAGGTTAAAGTGCTCTCAGATTATTTCAACTGGCCACATGGAAAGGGGCTACCATTTTGATTTTAATGGCATTTGCTTCCACAGAGACTTGAAATTACAAAGCAGAACACTTGTGGTATCTGCTAAGTCCCAGCCATTCGTGCCAAGAAGCAAGCTAAGAGAAGTTTGAGACTTTTACGGAAGATTTGTATAGCCATGTCAAACAAAGCAGCTGGAACCAGTTTAGGAAATCTATTCGTATTTATTTTCACTCAAGGATTAGGTTAGGCCTTCTCTGGAGTATCTCCCTTGAGCTTGCAATAGTCCAGGTTTGACTCTTCTGTCTCTTCAGCAGCTTCAAGAGCTCCAGCAGCTAGCGCTCCAGCCACTGTCTTCAGCTCTGTATCAAAGTCAGGCTCCATCTTGTTCACCAAAAGTCGGTGTTCCTTGCGGAACAGGATGTAGCGGCTCAAGAATATGACTAGAACCAGGAGACCCCCAATGAAGAAGATCATCAACGCAAAGCTGCCCAGAAAGGCAAAACTCACCAACAGCATGTTCTTCATGGTGTGGCATTGTCCTGCAAAGGGGAGAAAAGAGTATAGGTGAAGTGGGAAAGGCTTCAGAGGGAAGGCAGCCTCTTATATTAGGAGACAGACATTCAGCTTTAAGGCAGCACTGCTAAATTATCCCTTTATCTTCTCCATTCCACACGCATCTTATTCTGCAACTCAAGGGCGAAGGAAGGCCTGATAACAGGCAAGGGAGCTGGTACAAGACGTGTCCCAGGCTAGAACCTCCTACTAGCCACATATTTATCCTACCCCTCTAAGAAGGAGCACAGGATGTCATACATTATCTGTCATTTTCAGTTCTATCTTAATAACCATACGTAGGTTTTAGACAAGGTAAATCCTTGCAAGCTTTTGGGCTGAATGGAGATTTTAACCTGTTCTTTCTAGTGCAGCCACTCCATCATTCTAAATTTTAAAGTGTGTGACAATTGTTCCTGGATGCAGTGGTTTGTAAACCTTTAAAGGCACAGCTGCCAAAATGCCATGGTCAGCCATGAGCTGGCTGAAGTCTGATCAGCAGCAGCCATCCAGAGTCACGTGTCTCCAGCTTTCCCCCCCTCCCAATAGCATTTTGAGGCCAATTGTACTTTAACTGTGCTGGCTGAAGCTACAGTGCCACCAAGTGGTGTCATTTAACCTACAAATTGGCCAATAGCTACAGTCTTGAAGACTTGCGGACTCTAGACTGAAGACGTATTCAAGTAGCATTCATGTACTAGGCCTGCTACAAGACTTCCAATGTTCATTTTTGTCCCCACAGCACGTGCCCTATTATCTTATTCTAGCTACACTAGCCAAAGGATCTGTGGAACTACAGAATGGAATGCAGCAGCACTCATGCTTAGAGATACTAAGGCTGGCCCCCCATATGCCGTTTCGATATGGTACTTCACAAGACTGACTTCTGCAGGATATAGTTAACAGGATGCCAACAGTTAACATGAAAGCTCTGCAGAGCAAGAAGAGTTCTGAATACACAAGGGCACCGGTTCACCTTAGAAATCCACTTGGATCACCTGATTTCTTGCCAGATTTAAACAGGAAGTCGGCCTGAAAGATGTCTGGGAACAGGGCAACAACTTTGAACATAAAGTAGTTAATGTAAGACTCATGCCAGAAGCATTGCTAAAGGCTCAGGGGCCCCTCTTACTGTGGAAGCTGGTCACACTGCAATAGCATTTAAAAGCTTTGCATGAAAGCACTGTTGACACATGAAATAAGTTTACCCTGCTATACTTTGTGGCTTCTGAACAGGCCATGAGTGACACCCCCACCTAGCAAATGATCCAGTTAAAATCCAGCCGGATTCCTCATTCTTTGCAAAACCCAGTTGAAGAGGAAGGTCAGATACTTGAGCGGCCCAGGACTGAACCCCAGGAGCAGCTAACAATTTGTTCAGAGCAGCAATGGGGAGGGGGTTTAAAGGTTTCCCCCCTTGCAAGTCCTTCCTTGTTGCCATCTGCCCTGGTAGAGGGGGGTGGGGAACCTTACACCCTTGGACTTCTTTTCTAGGGTTCCCTCTCGCAGAGGGCTGTTCTGGACTTCTTAGTGCTCTTCCCACCCACCCATGCAGAATGCATTATGGAGATGCAAAACTAACCTTCAAACCATGGGACATTTCCCTTGAGCACTGTCAGAGGGCCAACCACTTCTCTGTGCAGTCTTCCTTCACCTGCAAACAATGCTTGAAAGAAAAAAAAGTGTTTGCGTGGCGGTGGGGAAGCTTCTAAGAACAGAGCATCAAGGAAAGTCTTACAAGAAAGAGGCTCATGTCTTCTCCTCGTCTCCCACCCATTCTAGACTTACATCGAAATAGGAACCTGGCTTCTTTGCTCATGTCCTGCCATGTTCCACCTTGATCCTACCAAACAGAATGTTATGCCATCCCAAGGTGAAAGGGTCATAAGTGATCCTT